ACCTGGACCGCAAGCTGCTCCTCGGCTACCACCGGCACTCTCCACACCAGCACCCCCAGAGGGACCACCCCAAGGGCGACCGGGACGAGCACCCCCAGAGTCAGCGAACGGGGGCTGCGACGGCGGCAGCGGCGGCGGCGGCGACGACGACGGCTGCAGCAGCGGTAGTGGCGGTGGAGGAGGGGACTGGGGAGGGGACACCTGGGGAAGGGCGGCCGGCGAGGACTGCACAGGAGGGCCACCAGAGTCAGAAGACTCCTCAACCGGGTCCACGGACGGAAGGGGGGTGACGTGGGACACACCAGAGGGGGCGGGACGGGGAGGAGGAGGAGGAGGGGCAGGGACTACCGGGGAAGGGGTGACGAGGAACAGGGGGGGGGTAACCGGGGGACCACGGTGGGGAAAGCGGCGGTAGTAGGAGACGGACTCGTCAAAGGTGACGTCACGAGAGTGAAAGAAGCGGTGAGACGGCGGGTGGTAAAAGTGCCAGTCGGACGCGTCAAGGGGAAAACCGAGGAAGACGCAGGGAAGGGTGCGGGCAGTGAGCTTGTCCGTGCCGGAGGCACGGACGTGAGCAAGGCAGCCCCAGACGTGGAACGCAGACGCGTCACCAGGAGACCCAGTCCAAAGACGGGTCGGCGAAACCTGCGGCTGCTGAGGGTGCGGCCACAGGTTAAGCTGGTGAGACGCGTAGCGCACAGCGAACGGCCACAGAAAATGGGGTGCACCGGCATGGATCATGGAGGTGCGAGCGACCTCCATGACCAAACCGATGCGTCGCTCAGCGACCCCATTCTGCTGTGGGGAGTCCGGTAGGGTGAACGTCTGGGTGATGCCCTCCGCACGACAAAAGCGACCAAGGACACCTGAGGCAAACTCGCCACCACGGTCTGAGTGAAGACGCAAGACAGGGAGACCGCGGTGGACACGCGCAGAGACAAGCCAGGGGATGAGAGCGCCAGGCACGTCGGCCTTGCGCTCCAGGGGAAAGACTGTGGTGTAACGAGTGAAGTCGTCGACAAGCACAAGGAAGTAGCGCTCTCGACGCGGCCCAGGGACGGGGGCGGGGCCCCAGACGTCCAGGTGCAGGGTCTGCAGCGGCGCGGCGGTAGGGGGAAACGAGGAGGAGTGAGGGGCACGGCGAAGCCGACCCTCGACACAAGGCGTGCAAGGTGGGGCGGGAGAGGAGGGAAACGCGGGGAGCGAACCTGGGAGACCAAGGACTAGACCGTGCTGGGACATGTGACGCAGACGCGGGAGCGCAGGGTGACCTAGGCGGTGGTGCCACAGGAGGGTCGGGTGAGTGAGGGAGCGACAGGAGCAGGCAGCAGCAACCTGGGTAGACGCAGCCACCTGAGGGGGCGCTCCAGCCGGGGGGGTCACGGTGTCCAGAGTGAACAGGCCGGACACCGGGTCCCGGGGGAACGTGGACAGGGGGGCACCATTGGCGGCCTCGGTACAGACAGCATACCGCTCGTGGCCAGGGAACGTAGTGGTGACGCCAAGGTCCTGGAGGCAGCCGACACCAACTAGGTTCCTGGAGAACGAGGGGATATGCAGACCTGTAAGAGAACCCGAAGGAACCGCCGGACAGGGAAGGGTGGTGGAACTGCGGGCGACTACCGGACCGCCGGAGGGGTCAGCAAGAGAAACGGCAGCAGGAACAGGAAGCGGCGTCAGGGTGGTGGAGTCGCGGAAGAAACACCGAGAGGCGCCAGAGTCCAAGGTGAAGGAAAGCGAAGCCGAGGGGTCTGGCGACGGAACGACGGCGGAAGCACCAAGACTACACAAAGCAGGGGATCCTACGCCTGACGCAGCAGGGGAGGCTAAGCTAGGCACACATACACTAGGCAACAGTGAGTAATAAGCGGGAAGCACACTAGAGTCATCAGCATACATCACATGCAGAGCAGCAACAATGGCATCCATGTCCATATCAAAAATCTGAATCTGACGACTAAGCAAACTGTGCCAGTCCAGGAGGTCTGGCGACGGGCCGAAGCGCTGACGAAAGAGGTCGTCCAGGCGACGAAAACAGCGGGGAGTGGAGTGACCGAGCCTACCGCAAACGAAGCCGCGGCGAGGACCGGTCTGGATCTGGTACTGACAACGCCCGCCGCCAGAGCCACCACGCGGCACACCACCACGCGCCCGGCCACCGCCAGCGCCGGGCCATCCTGGCGGGAGGACACTCGTCTGCCGCGTCTGCGACGGCTGCTGCGGCTGCTGCGAAGGCTGCGACTGCGGCGGCTGCTGCGGCTGCTGCACCTGCAGGGGCGGCGACTCAGCTGAACTGGGCAGGGTCCCCTCGTCCACTCCAGCACCAGGCGACCCGACCCCACCACTACCCCCGCCCGCACCCCCGCCGCCTCCTCCGCCGCGCCCAGCCTTGGGGCGGCGGCCCTTCCCCGAACGGACCTGCGCTGCAGCAGCAGTCTCAGCCACTGCGGCAGAGCCGTCGGAGAAGGTGCACTGAGCGGGGGCACAACCCTGAAAGATAGGGACCGGCACGACACCGCTCGCCTGGGCGATGGAGCGGTGACGGGTCTCTATCACAGTCAGGGTGTCTACAAAGTCAGTGAGGGTGAGGTCTGCGGGGTGAACGCTGAGAAATCGGTCGCGGGCGACAGCAAGGCGGTCAGGGAGGCGGGTGGCAAGCAGGTAGAGGGTAGAGGTAATGGGTGGCTGGTGGGCTCTAAGCTGGGCGTCAGTGCAGGCAGCGCGCCAGGTCTCATCTATCGAGCGCAGGTGGGCAGCGAGGTCAGAGACAGTGGGGAAAGATGCAAGGTCAGGAAAGAGCATCGGAAGGATCAGGCGACCCACCGAGGCAGCCGGAGGGGTGGAATAGCGCTTGATCACAGCATCTAAGTATGCCTGAGCAGTAGTGAGGGACCTAAAGCGAGGACGCTCGGATGGGGGAAGGGCGTTGCTAATGGCAAGCTGGGCAACAGCATCACGAGAAAGCCAGACAGAGCGCGCACAGGCAGTGGCAGCAGTAGACTCATGCTCAGTGGGTGTGGGGTCAGCGGGCAGAATAGCAGGGGGGTCTGGGCAGGGGAGCGTACCGTCAAGGTGTGCGGAAAGCGGTTCACCATCCTGCCGCTGGCCAGTGAGTTGGCGGCGGAGGTCGGCAAGCCACGCCTCGAACTCTAGTGGCTGACCTTCAGCGTCGAAGCGAAGCTCCGCCGCCATCAGGAACAGTCCAGTGCGGTGCAGGGCAGTGCAGTGCGGTGCAGTGCGGTGCAGTGCGGTACAGTGCGGTGCAGTGCGGTGCAGTGCGGTACAGTGCGGTGCAGTGCGGTATAGTGCGGTGTAGTGCGGTGCCAGGCAGTACAGTGTGATGCGGGGCGGCACGGAGCAGGGCGGGGTGGGGGGGAACCGTACCAGTGCGGAGGACGGGGCCGGGGCTGGCCCGACGGGGCCGGGCGGGCGCGACGGGGCCGGGCTGGTGCGACAGGGCCGGGACGGGGCGACGGGGCCGAGCGGGCGCGACGGGGCCGGGCTGGGGCGACGGGGCCGGGCGAGTGCGGCAGGGCCGGGCCGGTGCGACGGGGCTGGGCGAGCGGGACGGCGGCCGGGCGGGTGCGACGGGGCTGGGCGGCTGCGACGGGGCCGGGCAGGGTGCGACGGGGCCGGGCGGGTGCGACGGGGCCGGGCGGCTGCGACGGGGCCAGGCAAGGGCGACGGGGCCAGGCGGCTGCGACGGGGCCGGGCGGGCGCGACGGGGCCAGGCGGCTGCGACGGGGCCGGGCGGGCGCGACGGGGCCGGGCGGGTGCGACGGCGCCGGGCGGGCGCGACGGGGCCGGGCGGCGGCGACGGCGCCGGGCGGGCGCGACGGAGCCGGGCGGCTGCGACGGGGTCGGGCAGGGCGCGACGCGGCCCAGAAGGGGCGCGACGGGGCCCAGGAGGGGCACGACGGGGGGCCCAGGAGGGGCGCTATAGGGGCCCAGGAGGGGCGCAACGGGGCCCAGGAGGGGCGCTACGAAGCCCAGGAGGGGCGAGACGGGGCCTGGGAGGGGCGCGACGGGGCCCAGGAGGGGCGCGACAGAGCCCAGGAGGGGCGCTACGGGGCCTGGGAGGAGCGCGACGGGGCCCAGGAGGGGCGCTAGGGGGCCTGGGAGGAGCGCGACGGGGCCTGGGAGGGGCGCGACGGGGCCTAGGAGGGGCGTTACAGGGCCCAGGAGGGGCGCTACGAAGCCCAGGAGGGGCGCGACGAGGCCCAGGAGGGGCGCTACGGGGCCCAGGAGGGGCGCGACGGGGCGCTACGGGGCCTGGGAGGAGCGCGACGGGGCCGAGGAGGGGCGCTAGGGGGCCTGGGAGGTGCGCGACGGGGCCTGGGAGGGGCGCGACGGGACCTGGGAGGGGCGTTACAGGGCCCAGGAGGGGCGCTACGAAGCCCAGGAGGGGCGCGACGAGGCCCAGGAGGGGCGCTACGGGGCCCAGGAGGGGCGCGACGGGGCGCTACGGGGCCTGGGAGGAGCGCGACGGGGCCCAGGAGGGGCGCTAGGGGGCCTGGGAGGAGCGCGACGGGGCCTGAGAGGGGCACGACGGGGCCTGGGAGGGGCGTTACAGGGCCCAGGAGGGGCGCTACGGGGCGCTACGGGGCCTGGGAGGAGCGCGACGGGGCCTAGGAGGGGCGCTAGGGGGCCTGGGAGGAGCGCGACGGGGCCTGGGAGGGGCGCGACGGGGCCTGGGAGGGGCGTTACAGGGCTCAGGAGGGGCGCTACGAAGCCCAGGAGGGGCGCGACGGGGCGCTACGAGGCCTGGGAGGAGCGCGACGAGGCCCAGGAGGGGCGCTAGGAGGCATGAGCGGAAGCGGGAGGTGGGGGGGGATCCTACCTACGCGTGATACCATAACAGAATTAGAATTGAATGATGGTAAAGTGAGAGTACACACAAATATACCTAAGTGTTGTACCCTCTAAGAGGTAACCCTATACAGTCTATACAAACATAACAAATACAGATGTTTGACAATAGTAACTTGTGAAGTGTAAGGAAATGAACTCCGAAATGCGGCAGGCGCAAAAGCCAGCCCATGTACATACAACCTTTCTTTTGAAACTGCGCATAGAACATTACATATTTTCATTTTAGAGCTGAACAGAGTGACGCCCTACCACATGGAGTGCTGCAAACAGGGAATATAAATTCGTGGGGCTACTTTCTACTGGGGCTTGAAAACCAAGGGGCTGCTTGATAAACTACGGGTGGACTGGACTGGTTGTGGTTCTGAGGTACACTCACTACTGAGACGGCTCAGCCTTGCACACTGTAGCTTCCTTGAAGATAATTCCAGGCCTGCAGTAAGAGCCGAGTGCGGGGTTGCAGTGCACGTCGGCAGCGCAGTGGCAGAGGCCCCGCATGGCGCACTGGTCGCCATACACCTGCACTGGCTGCTGGGACAGCCCCAGCACCCGCTTTGCCCAGTCGTTCAAAAAGAGCCCTCTTGGGTCAAACCTCTCCCTGCAGCGCATCACAGCACAAGGGAACGTGGGTCAGATGGTGTCCAAGGGTAGACAAGAAACGCACAACCTTGTAGCGTGTATAAACCTCCAGGACAAAGAAACAGCATGTAACAACCATGAACGAAACAATAATCATGCAATTAAACTGTGTTTTGGCTCACCTGACTTTGAGGAAGCGAGGGAGGTTGGGATACTTGCTGGGGATGTCAATGAAGGAAACATCCTTGTTCTTTCCCCAATGTGGCTTGCCGCCAAACATCTTCCCTATGATCTGCTCGTACTCGTCTGTCACATCCTGCACATGGGGGGAAAGTAAAAGGATGTAGCAGTGAAACAACTCAACATCTCAACCTGAAAAAGATGCAGCAGGGGAGGCTTGCAATCACACATGTTCCCTATGATCTGCTCCTGCTCGTTTGTCACATCCTGCACATAGGGGGGAGTAAAAAGGATGTAGCGAAAGATGTAGCAGGGGAGGCTTGCCATCACACATCTTCCCTACGATCTGCTCGTACTTGGCTGTCACATCCTGCACCTAGCGGAAAACGCAGCGTGGCGCACACATTCGTGGTGAAAATTATAAACAATTCAAGAACATTATAAACAATTTGTGAGGAAAAGAAAAACAGGGGGGAAAAGCTAGTTGGAAGCGAAAATCTGACGTAAAATGTGAAACTTTGATTTTTTTTCCTCACACAGAAACCCATACACAGCGCACCAACCAGCTTCTACAGAGAGCATACCTGGCTAGTTCTTGGCTTGGACGGGTCATCACTCCTATAGTACTGAATGTCAACCATCACAGAATCCTCCTCTGCCCCCAGCAGGGTGTCGGAGCCCTTGATGAATCGGAAGAAGATTCCGCCATAGTTCGCCAGGCCGCAGAAGCCGAGTCGGCGCACTGATGCCAGCTGCTTTATGGTAAGGATGAAGTCTGTAAGGGGTACAGAATAGAGGAAGCGCAAGGGAGGAAGGGGGGGTGGGTGGGAGAGGAGGAGGGGGGGAGGGAGGATGATAAAGCAAAAACCCTGGATTTATGGATTGCTGTCATAAAATTGATGAGAAAGCAGAAATAAGAGGAAAAGCAAAAAACCCTGGTGAGAGGAACGAGTATGAGTATGGGTGTCTCAGTGTCTCACCTTAGTGCCTGGTGAGGGGGATGAGCATGGTGGTCTCATAGAATCGGATGCTGCTGATGCTAGACTCCCACCTTTGACCCTAGTAGTAGCACCGTAGACTAGGCTTGAGCATAAACCTGACCCGACCCGACCCGACTTTGCCCTACCCGATGTCGGGTTCGGATCGGGTCGGGTCAGGTCAAGTTGGGTCGGAGTTCAGGAAATGTCAACCCGACCCGGGTTTAATAGGTCGGGTACGACTTGACCCAATTTCGGGTCGGGTCGGGTTGAGTTGGCATAGGGGTAGGGACGGGTAATAAGCCGACCCAAGGGGTCGGGTTTTGTCGGTCGGGTACCCGAGGGTCGGGTCGACCTTCTGCAAATGTTGACCCGACCTGTCAAAAAGTCGGGATCGGGTCAGGTTACCCGCCCCAACCCAACCCGTTGCTCAAGCCTACCATAGACCCACCTTTGAGCTTGGTGAGGGGGATGAGCATGGTGGTCTCGTAGAAGCGGATGCCGCTGATGCGCGGATCCCACGGGCACACCTGCCGGCCCAAGGGGGTGCGACCAGCGTCCTCACAGCCAGAGGACGTCTGGAAGCGATTGTGGTAGCCCGCTAAAGAGTTTGGGGGATGGGGGGGAGGGCGGGGGGGGGGGAGTGAGAATCAGCACTTGAGTGTGTGAGGAGTCAATTTTTTAGGTGCCTCAAAAAGAGAGTCAGCACTTTGTTAAGTAAAAAAGGCATAGCTTCTGAGTGTGTGGGTGCTTGTGCTGTCTGACTGAACTGGCTGGAGGAGCTTTACCACAACTTTGCCCCTAGAACCACCACCCCCAGCGACAAGAGGTTGGAAGTGATTGTTCTTAGACTGGGTGGACTCATAACGAGTCAAAAAAGCCCACCAACAGGAAAGCTCCTGAAGAGAACACCATCGTTGGTGAAGCCACTTCCCAGGTTGAAAGTGATTGTGCTTGTAACGAGTGCACATATAACTATTCAGCACGCTCACCAACAGGGAAGCCCCTAAAGAGATTGCCATCATTGGTGAACCCACCACCCAGGTTCAGAAGAACAGGCACCTGATGATGGGGGAAGAGGGGGGAAGAGGGGGGGGGAGAGGGAAGGGAAAGAGCAAATATGAGGTGGCGGACAAACAGGCAGGGGCTGGGCCGAACAAACCGTAGAAATCCAAACCAAAACCTAAATCTCAATTTGCAGGAGGGATGGTTCAAGTCGCTTGCACTCTGGAAAATCCCACTCTATCCAGCCAGATGTGTACCTGCACTGTCAGAGACTACTGCATAATCAGAGACTACTCCTGCATGAGCGATCGGCTCATGTTGCAGGTCTTACCAAAACGTACTCTGCTGAGTGAATGCGTACCTGCACCGTCTGCCTTGTGAGACGACTCAAAAGTCAGTGCGCACCTGCACTGTCTGCCTTGTGAGACAACTCAACAGTCAGAGCGCACCTGCACTGTCTGCCACAGGTTGCAGATGCCTTGCTCGTCGGGAGAGGTCTGCGTGCCATAGTCTAAGGAAATACAAAAACAAAGGGAACGAGCACAGGAAGAGGAGGGAAGAGGGAAGGGTATTGGGGTCGGAGAACGGGTTCTTGTCGAAAAGGTTGGTATGGGAAACGAGAACGATAGACCGGATCAGTTTTATGGCAAGCAAAGGTCAATGGGGGATTGGGGAAGAGAACAAGGCAGCGAGGGCAAGGGTAGGAGTTGTCAAAACTTGTAAAAACGAACAGGCGAAGACGAACTGTCAGAAGAAAAATAATATAATTGGAGCAGCAGCAGCAAGGGCGGTCCAGATGTAGTCAAACTGGCCTTGGAAGATGGGCAGGGCGTAGGAGCCCATGCCCTAACCTCGTAACAGGTGACAGGCACAGAGCAGCAAGGGCCGCAGGAGCAGCTGGGCTTACCCAGCGCAGCAAGAGCGGTCCACACGTAGTCAAACTGCCCTCGGAAGATGGGCAGGGCGTAGGAGCCGGTGCCAGGGCGAGAGACGGGCACCATGTTGTCCCGGCGCCAAAACACACTGGCGGGAGCGGGACGGCCCAGCCCAGGGGATGTGTCAGGAAAAGGGAGAAAGAGAGGCAGTTCAGCAAACGAGGGGCAAGCCTGGTTGGTGAGATAGTAATTGCGTTTTGAGTCAGCTCAAAACGAAATTGCTATCACAGGCAAGGTTGGTGAGGAGAAGGAGAAAGTAGGAGCTGTGGCACGCCGCAAAGAAAAGGATGGTAGGAGAGACGAGACACCAGGGGAGAAGGAGTGTGAGGGAAGGGGAAGGAAAACAAAACAGTCTCGCTTAGATGGTCAGTCGCGAGAGAGGAGTCCAGGGAAAGGGGATAGGTACTACTTTTGAGGCGCCTCAAACGGCGTCAGGATTGCAGGAAAGAAAGCGGGTAATAAAGGTGCTCTGACTCTTGGCGCGCAGACCGGTTGGACAGGTTCGACGGGTTCCGCATATCATTTAGCGAGGCGAGGAGCACCTATAAAACCGATCAAATAGACACTGACTCACCTTCGGGCGGACGGGTACCAGTTGAGGTCTGGGAACGTTGTGTTCTCGGCGAAAGAGAGAATCTCGTTCTCGAGATTCGCATCACTGCAGACAGGAAACGGTTGGAGCACACAGCACTGACAGAAACTCATATGAGACGACGCGTGTGAGCTGAAGAAGTTTCTTAATCAACTCAAAAATGGATCGCGTGAGCTGAGGAATCAATGGGAAGGACGAGACGAATGAACGGAACAGAAATAACAGCATGCGATGTTTACCTGGTGTTGTAGTAAGTCATTTCGCGTTTCCACATAGAGTAGACCTCAAGCGTCATCTGGGAGATGAATCCCACACAGGGGTTCAAAGCACAGGCCGCTGACCTGTACGTACAAGGTCACTTTACCTGGTGTTATAGCAACTAACTTCACCTGGTGTTGTAGTACGTCACTTCGCGTTTCCACAAGGGGTAGACCTCCAGCGTCATTTTTGAAATAGCTCCCAGCAGCCCCAGGTGCAGGCGAGCAGCCAGCAGCTCGTCCCCGCCCCTCACGTCCCTCACCCCCACCCACCCACTCGCCTCGTCCGTGGGGACCACCACACGCACCCCCCGCACATACTCGCCCATGCGCCCGCCCTTGAACTGCAGAGTGCTGCCATGGGACCCGGTGCCTATGGCCCCTATCACAGACGCGCCTGATGGGGGGAAGAACAGGAGGAATTGCCAGAGTAAGCGCACCCTATCACCCCCTTGAACGGTAGAGTGCTGCCGTGAGAACCAGCGCCTACTGCCCCTGTCACAAACGCGCCAGATGGGTTGCGGGGAACAGGTGGGAATGAGCTGTGGGATACAGAGGGCCTAACAAGTCAAGAAGATGAGAACACTCTACCATGTTGGTGAAGCGCCCAAACCAAGAAGATGAGAGCAACGAAGGATTATAGCTAGAACAAAGAACAGAGCAGGTGCATGATCAATGGACCTGTGCAAACCTGTGAGCAGGTGCATGATCAATGGATAAAGCAAACCTGTGTTCCTATATCGAGTCTATTTCGAGCTTACCTGCCCAATACGGGGCGGTAGGGAAGGTGAGGTTGTGATCCGCCAAGTATGCGAAGAAATCGTCGAGCTGAAAACGGCAAAGGGAAGAAGGAACGGGAAATCAGAGAGAGGGAGAACAGGAGGGCAAGGGAGTGGGGGAGATGAAGGGGAAACCGGAGGATGGTTGAGAGAGATGCAGTGTGAGGTGAAGAGCAGAAAGGGAGATACCAACCAGCCACGCATGCTCCGCCTTACCATGACATCATACCAACCAGCCATGCATGCACCGCCTTACCATGACATCATACCAACCAGCCATGCATGCTCCGCCTTACCATGGCATCATACCAACAAGCCATGCATGCTCCGCCTTACCATGACATCATACCAACCAGCCATGCATGCTCCGCCTTACCATGACATCATACCAACCAGCCATGCATGCTCCGCCTTACCATGACATCATACCAACCAGCCATGCATGCTCCGCCTTACCATGACATCATACCAACCAGCCATACATGCTCCGCCTTACCATGACATCATACCAACCAGCCATGCATGCTCCGCCTTACCATGGCATCATACAACCAGCCATGCATGCTCCGCCTTACCATGACATCATACCAACCAGCCATGCATGCTCCGCCTTACCATGACGCCATACCAACCAGCCATGCATGCTCCGCCTTACCATGACATCATACCAACCAGCCATGCATGCTCCGCCTTACCATGGCATCATACAACCAGCCATGCATGCTCCGCCTTACCATGACACCATACCAACCAGCCATGCATGCTCCGCCTTACCATGACACCATACCAGCCAGCCATGCATGCTCCGCCCTACCATGACTCCCGCATCCACAGTGGCTGTCATGGTATCCCTATCGATGGAGATCCCCTTATAGTCACGCGTGATAATGGAAACCCCGGTGGTGCCGCCAGGGCAGTACCACTTGGGGATGGTGTGCACCGTTGCACTGGCCACCTTCACCTGGAGAAAGGAAACGAAGGAAAGCAGAAGAAAAATGGTAACTGATTGAGTTTTACTGGAACTACCATGGTGTCTCATGTAAGATGGATGGTGTGCACTGTTGCACTGGCCACCATCACCTGAGTCAGCACGAAGACAAAGACAGAGCAAGGGTCACTGACGAATCCACTTGTGCAATTAAGCTAGGTATAAGTGGAATAGACTGACCGGAAGATTGTTCTGGCTCGCATACACGACAGCACTGATCAGTTCATCCTCGGTCCGAGGGTAAAATACCCTGCCTAGCCTGAAACGTAACGTGGTCAGAGGGATGGGGGTTGTCCGGAGAGAGGGGAGGGGAGGAAGAGACGGAAGGAAACGAAGTCATTAAAAGAACCTAACACCACCTTTCGTAGGGGGAAGCATGATGACAGGATGCAGAAAAGTCATGTGGGTGAAATAAAGACATCAGGGAATGTCAGCAAACGCTGCTTACTGGCAGGGCCTTCCGTCCATGTTCACGCCGTACGCGTTATTGATGGTGCACATGCCAATAGTGGATCCATTCGCGCATCTGACAGGCGGCAAGGCAGCAGCAGCGGCGATCTGCGCGTTGCCGAGGCTCCACAGGAGCGACGCACACGACAAGACCACGAAGAGCAGCGAAGTCCGTGGCGAAAGGACGACGAGCAGCGACAACGCCGGCCGCTCCATGGCGTACAGATTAAAGCAGACGATCGGCGAGAGTTACGCAGCCTTGGGGAAGAGACCAGCTGCAGAAATTGCCGAAGTTGGCACTTGCACGAAGGCGTTTATATCGTTCTCCGAGCTCCATGGGTGAGGGCTTGGAGAGCGGACGATAGGATCGGAGGTCACCTCAGTCGTACCGACCTTCGTCATTGATGTGTTGTGCTGCGCTGCGTCGCGTCGCGAGGTGCAAATCTGCGGTGTCTTGGAAATGGCGGTGCGGTTGGTGACTAGCTTAGAAACTATCGTTGTCAGGAATGGGTGGAGGGAAAGGGTCATGTCAATATCTCCGTTTGTAGTTGTGTGTCAACATCAGGTGAAACGAGGCCAAAGTAATTCTGTAGTAGCTAGTATATCTATGAGATTTAGGGCGATAGGTGTACTACAAAACTGTTTTTAGGAATGCGCTGTTTATGTGAGCCAAAAAAGCAGGATTACAAAAGCGAGCGCCGACCTCAAAAGTGCAGGATAAGCCAGCGACCGTCCTCGTCATCCATTGGCCGCGTCGACGATCACACGGCGGTACATGAACACCACAGGCGGAACCCGATACGTTTGGGATGATGTGGCTCCGAAAGTGCTTGACACGTCAGCTGTCCGAATTCTGTCTTGCTCAGACCGTGGAGGATAGCGTCTTGTCATTCCGCCCGACTGATTGGAAGCTCCACCCACCACAACCCGCATGGCAGGGAAATCCCCGCTGGTTTTCGGGAATCCCTGCAGTTTCTGCATTTTGCCCATACATTTCGACCCCTCCTGTTCCGTTCAGTTTCAAATTGGCAACGAACTGAACTCCAACTTCAAGGCCCGGTCAGCCAGGCAAAATAAAGTGACGCGCGGGGAACCAGGGGAACGCCACGCTTACTGCAGCAAAGTCGAGGCTGCCCTGCCTTCACCCCCTGTCCTTCTGACATCATCGGGAGTTCTGTTTCAAAGTTCCCCGCTCCTCACAACTCTCCACCACAGAAGGGGAGAAAGCCTTGGGCGTCGTGCCACACCCGTGGTTGCCTCGTCGACCTCTTCACCTCCTGACGGGCTGCCCTCCCTCGATTTCCCCGCAGCAGCTTCAGGAATCAGGGGGCTTGGTTGTTGCCATCTTGCCACCACCAAGATCGCTCGTTGGATCACACGCCAAGCCCAACGCACGCCAAGGAACCTGGTCTTATCTCATCACCGACCATGGCTGCTTCCCTGGCTTCGCGCTCTAACGCCGTGCTGGCGGCTGGTCTGGCCCAGGAGCCCGTGCTGGCGTCCTCCCAGCACTGCGTTCTCAAGGTCGACGGCTTCTGTGGTCTTCGCCAGAACGTGAATCTCGCGGGGAGGAAGAACGCCTCGAGGAAAGGGCGGAGCGTCCAGCGCAGGGCTTCCAATGTAAGCCCGTTGAATCTGCTTCCAGGTCTTTCTCGACCGATTTCCCTAATCTGTCCTAGGTCCCACTACCAACTAGATTCGTTGACCTTACTTCTGCTGTCAGCCTAGCCACTATTTTGCCAGCTTGTCCTCCTCTGCTTCTTGTTCAGTGGCTGATGTGTTTTTCGTGTTTTTTCCTCTTACTGGGCGACTTGTTTTAACTTCAGGGCCCCGTGGCGACTCTCAGCGAGAAGGGCGAGTACTTCACGGAGAAGCCGCCCACGCCTATCCTCGATACTGTCAACTACCCGATTCACATGAAGAATCTCAGCATCAGGGTGCGTGTTTTAAAGCCCACAGTCCGGATTGTCCAAGAAGGGGGGGTTGTTAAACACTTGAAGCGGTGTAGCGAACGTTTTACTAGGGGCCCGGAGGTTGGCGAAAAATTGTTGGGGTTCGCTATCCAACCAAAACTCCCCCCCTTGTTCAACTGCTTAACTTCTGGACAATCCGGGCCCAGGGCTTTAACCACGGGTGGAAAAGTCGCGTCTTTTTGCCTCGGCCTTGGTCCAGGGGCTGGTCTCCTGAGGGGAAACCGGGGTCTCCTGAGGGGAGACCGGGTCCGTCAGCGGTCGCTGAATCGACATTGCAGCCGATGCAGGGTGAACTGATTCGCGGAGAAAGCGACAATGGCAGTGATTCAGGAGGCACACTGAGACAACGGAACTTAGAGGCCGAGGCGCTGGGGTTGGCTATTCCCGTAGATCTCTAAACCTATGGTATTTAGACGCGTGGACAGGTTTCCATGCAGGCTTAGGTCCAGGCATCCTTTCGCATAAACCGCGAAACGAATCATGTACTGTGACAGTCCTAAGGACGTTACGCTGTGTCTCTGTTCTCCCTGTGGTTACCACCAACAACCAACTGAGGTTCTCTTGAGGCTGACCTTCTCACTTCCCATTCCCCTGACTCCCGTCCGTTTACTCCCGTCCCGTTTCCCCCGGTCTTCTCCCGAGCAGGAGCTGAAGCAGCTATCAGAGGAGGTGCGCGCGGAGACCATTTTCACGGTGTCCAAGACCGGCGGGCATCTGGGCTCCAGTCTGGGAGTGGTGGAGCTGACGGTGGCGCTGCACCACGTGTTCAACACGCCCGACGACCGCATTATCTGGGACGTCGGCCACCAGGCGTACCCGCACAAGATCCTCACCGGTCGCCGCCACCGCATGCACACGCTGCGCCAGACGGGCGGGCTGTCGGGCTTCACGAAGCGCGCCGAGAGCGAGTACGATCCGTTCGGCGCCGGACACAGCTCGACCAGTATCTCCGCTGGGCTTGGTGAGTGATTGGTGTCGGTGAAGGTTCTGTGGTCTGCTGGCGGTGTTGTCACTTGGTGCTAGCTCAGGCAGACGGGCGGGCTGTCGGGGTTCACCAAGCGCGGCGAGAACGAGTACGATCCGTTCGGCGCCGGACACAGCTCGACCAGTATCTCCGCTGGGCTCGGTGAGAGATTGGTGCTAGGTGTGTGATGGCTGCGTCTTGTGTCGACCAGTGCCCGAACACAACCCGCATTCTCTCAACCGCACCCATCGGCTTCCGAACCAACTCAACTGGGTGCCGACGCCCTCTTTGAAGGCTTGATTTCGAAGCAGTTCGAAGGCAACGTTCGTGGCTGGCAAGGCGTCGTGAAGCAGATGCTTCAGTTCCGCCTGTGTCACCCGCGTCCCCCGTCCCATCCGTGCAGCTGTTTCTTCCGTCCCACCCGTCCCACCCGTCCCACCCGTCCCACCCGTCCCACCCGTCCCACCCGTCCCACCCGTCCCACCCGTCCCACCCGTCCCACCCGTCCCACCCGTCCCACCCGCCCCACCCGTCCCAACCGCCCCACGTTCCTCCCAGTCCGCTCACCTTCACAATCCGAACTGAAGCTGGCAGGGAAGGGCCGGAGAGTTATCCTCCCTCACACTCTCACCCAACCTAACTTGTTTGCCCTTTTTATTTCCCCCCGTCCCCTCTTCTCCCCCTCCCCCTCTCCCCCCCCCCTCCCCCTCCCTTTTCCCCCCCTGCTCTCACCCCAGGCATGGCGGTGGGGCGCGACCTCAAGGGGCGGAAGAACAACGTGATTGCGGTGATTGGCGACGGCGCGATGACGGCGGGCATGGTGTACGAGGCGATGAACAACGCGGGGTACCTCGACTCCAACATGATCGTCATCCTCAACGACAACAAGCAGGTCTCCCTCCCCACCGCCACCGTCGACGGCCCCGCGCCCCCTGTGGGCGCGCTCAGCAGCGCGCTCAGCAAGCTGCAGTCCTCCCGGCCCCTTCGCGAGCTCCGAGAGGTGGCCAAGGGCGTGTCGAAGCAGATTGGAGGGCCGGTTCACGAGATCGCAGCTAAGGTGGACGAGTACGCGAGAGGCATGATCAGCGGGTCGGGGTCTACCCTCTTTGAGGAGCTTGGGCTGTATTATATCGGGCCGGTTGACGGCCACTCTGTAGAGGATCTCGTGGCTATATTGAAGGAGGTGAAGAACACGCAGTCTACCGGCCCCGTGCTTATCCATGTGGTGACTGAGAAGGGGCGCGGGTACCCATATGCGGAGCGCGCAGCAGATAAGTATCACGGTGTGGTGAAATTCGACCCAGCGACCGGTAGGCAGCACAAGGGAAAGAGCGCCACGCAGGCGTACACCACCTATTTCGCCGAGGCCCTGATTGCCGAAGCGGAGCACGACAAGAACGTGGTTGCGATCCACGCTGCCATGGGCGGCGGCACCGGGCTGAACCTCTTCGCGAAGCGCTTCCCGGACCGGTGCTTCGACGTGGGGATTGCCGAGCAGCACGCGGTTACCTTTGCGGCGGGGCTGGCCGTCGAGGGCTTAAAGCCCTTCTGCGCCATCTACTCGTCGTTCCTGCAGCGCGCGTACGACCAGGTCATGCACGACGTGGCGCTGCAGAAGCTGCCGGTCCGCTTTGCTGTCGACCGCGCGGGATTGGTCGGCGCTGACGGGGCGACGCACGCTGGCGCGTATGATGTGGCGTTCCTGGCGTGTCTGCCGGAGATGGTGGTGATGGCGCCCTCTGACGAGGTGGAGCTCTTCCATATGGTCGCCACGGCCGCTGCTTACAATGACGGGCCGAGTGTCTTCCGGTACCCGCGTGGGAATGGCATCGGCCTGCCCCTGCCCGCCAACAACAAGGGCGTGCCCCTCGAGGTGAGAACCCTCCTGGTTTCGCCTCTTGCACGCCTCACGCTCAGCTGCTCGACACATGCTCCCGCTTCCTCACCCAACCTGGGAGCCCTTCTTCTCCCTCCCCCTTTTCGTTCTCCTTCCCACCCCTTTTCGTTCTCCTTCCCACCCCTTTTCTTCTTCCCCTTCCCTAACACACCTGCAGTACTGTAAGGGGAGAATCCTCAAGGAACAGACGTGCTTGGCCCTGCTTGGCTATGGCATCATGTCACTCAACTGCCTGGGAGATGTCTCTCAACTCGCCTATTGTACCCCACAGCCCCCTTCCCCCTCAAAGAGAGGCCAGACGTGGCTCTGCTGGGCTATGGCACCATGTCGCTCAACTGGCTGGGGGGGGCTCGGCTCTCCTCTTAATTCCTTTCTCTCCATCCCCTATGCAGATTGTCAAGGGGAGAACCCTCAAGGAGGGCATGGGCGTGGCTCTGCTGGGATACGGGACCATGTCGTTCACCTGCTGGGGAGCTGTCAAGATGCGTTAGATGTCTCGAAGCGCTCACATTTCCTCCCCTTCCCCCATCCCATCCCTGCAGATCGGCAAGGGAAGGATCCTCAAGGAGGGGACAGACGTGGCTCTGCTGGGCTACGGCACCATGTCGCTCAACTGTCTGGCGGCCGCCAAGATGCTCGAGGAGCGGAACATCTCCGTCACGGTTGCTGACGCACGGTTCTGCAAGCCGTTGGATCGCGATCTGATTCGCCAGCTGGCGCGCAACCACGGGGTGCTGGTGGTGGTGGAGGAGGGGTCGGTGGGCGGCTTCTCGGCCCACGTGCAGCACTTTATGGCGCTGGATGGGCTCTTTGATGACGGCAAGCTCAAGGTAAGAGCGGGTTGGGCAATCAGGGGAAACTGAAGTTGCATTCTTGAATTACTCGGCCCACGTGCAGCACGTCATGATGCTGGATGGGCTGTTTGGGACAACGGCAATCTCGATATCTCTCACCATTCTTGTGCCTCTGCCCTCCGTTTGTTTTCCTCCCTTACCAGTTCCGCCCCGTCGTTCTTCCCGACCGGTACATTGAGCACGGAGCACCGAAGGATCAAATGATTGAGGCGGGGCTTTCCTCGGGCCAGATTGCTTCCACTGTGTTGAATCTGCTCGGCCGCTCCCGCGATGCTCTCACTCTCATGGCCCACTAAGAGGGCAAGAAGGCAACCATGCTAGTTTTTGCCAGTTGAGTTGGCCCTTACAAAAAAGGGAGTTGTTTTGGTGTACCTTTTTGCTTCTTTATTTACTGTACATGGGCATTACTGTCGTGACACTAGGATAGCCCTGTCAAACCTCTTCTTTCTCTAGGGAGGATTCTAGGGAGGCTTTCCTTGGGGAAGGTGGATATATGGAGCCTAACTCTCCTGAGGACATCCCTTGTCCCAGTGGTTAGGACTCCTGTGTGACTTTGACTAGTACCACATGTTTGTTTACAAAGACAAATCACGTCACATCACAGCACAAAATGTGTAGGTTGTGGTGATATAGTAAACTGGTGCCAGCTTGACCAGTCGTCTGTCAAAGTTTCATAACGGGTATTGCTGTGGGAAGGAAAACCCTGGACCCGAGGAAGTTAGAACCATAATCGATCCTGTTTTGGGGATGCGGCGTAAACGCAAATCCGAGAAATTCCAAGAGGCTGAACCAGGTCACGAGCTTGGTGACGGTTACCCGAGCTGGTGTCAGATTTCATCCACAAATTCAGCTTGGTTACCAAGCTGTCGTCCCGCGAACTTCGTTAAGAAACACGCCTTCAAATTCCACTGCTCTTCTCATCCTGGGGGGAGTTCTGGTGGTCCACCGCAATTCTGCCTCCCATCCTGTGCCCCCCCTCGTGTCACATTATCGTCGTCTCACCTGCGCCCCGCTGTTCGCTTGATTTGATTTTCTTCACAAAATCGGCTCGCCTTCGATCGAACCAAGGAAGATGGGACCGTTTCATGGGCATCGGTCGTCTTTTACCACTCTGTACCACACATTAACTTTCTGCCCTCTTACCAAGCTGTATTCAACCCCGTCATATCTCTCTTCACAGGCCTTTCATACTCTGCCCATTCTTTCTCCTCTCATTCCCCTCGTCTTCATCTTCCTCCTCCCCTACCATCCATCCACCCATCCCTCCCATGTTCCTTGCTTCCCGCTTTCTAGCATTCCGTCACTCAAGCCTCACTGTCTCCAGACCAGAGCGGGTTATGCGATTTCTGGGATTCAGGTGGTGTTTTTCGGTGCATTGCTCTTCCAGCATTCCTGTGAGTTTCATTCGGCTTGCATTGCATGTGTCACGTCATGCAGCCGAAGACTTACCGTAGCCGAATTCTTGACGCTCTAGCGTCTGACGGAAGGTATACATCGAGCATATGAGCGGATAGAAGTTAGGTGGACGCTTGTCGGCGTTAGTTTCTACGTATTCCGCTAAGCAGCCGTGACAACCGGTCTGAAACAGCTGAAAGCCCAGGCAAGGAGAGGAGCGATGACTGTCGAACGATCTAGGTCAAGTGACGACTCGACTCCGCCGGTTCTCGGATCCCCCCCACTCCTCCATGACGAGAACCTCCCCGAACCGCTCTTCATTTTACAACTGGAAGCCGAGGATCACCTTAAGGCGTACGAGTCTCTGCGCGGCGCAATTCTCTCGCCCTCGCAGGATTCCCTCGGGGAGCGATCGCGGCGGAAGGGGTCTTTTCCGCAAGTCGACGGCGGGATTACCATGCCACGGTTTGAAGACGCATACCGCGGAAACCACCTTCCGCAATCGCCCCTTAGCGGAAGCCACCTTCCGCAATCGCCCCGCGGCGGCAAGCCTCGGCGGAGACACGCGGGAAGCCCCGTACCTCGACATAGGCCCGATCTCCTCCGCGGGGATTCTCCGCCCGCGGGGAGTCCCCTGTCGCGCGCCGTCCACGCGCACAGTCCCTTGGGGCGCGCAAGAATTGCGTCCCCGCGCGCGCTAAGCCCCAGGAAACACGGCGTCTCTGCGGGAAGTCCCCGCGCCACTGTCCCCTTCAAGGCGGCGCACCACCACCACGCGCGGAACGCGCGCCCCGCGCACGTCCTCCGCTTGCCGGACAACCCGCTCCTCGCGGAGATCTTCTCCCCGCATTCCTCCGCGGGGCCCAGGGCGCGCGGATGTGCGGAATCCTCGCGCGCAAGCGTCACTCCCAGGGACACTGCGCGGCCCCTTCCGGACGACTTCACTGCTGCGCGCATCCCGGGGGGAGCTCCGCCATCTCTAGCGGCTGAGATTCCGCCCACGTTCTGGGAACTGCCCCCGGAACAGCAGCAGCAGGGGCGGGGGGAACTACCGCCGAGAGGCGCAGCAGAAGGGGCGGGCGTTCTGCGCCGATGGCGCAGCTTCGGGCGGAGGAGTGTCGGCAACGGAAGCAGTAGACTTCAGAGCGGGTGCCACGTGGACGTCGAGACGAACGGCGATACGACCGTCGATACGAGCGGCGCATCTGCGAAAACGTCTGGGGCTGGTGGGGGCAGCGGTGGGAGGGAGGTTCCGCGGAGCCGGCTAGACCTAGCCCAGCCTTTCCGCATGGTCCGGAGTTTTTCCGCCCGCCTGGAGCGAGTTGAGCCAAAGCCCGACCCTGAATTGTGGAGCGGAGGCCTGGATTCTGAAGGGAGCCAGAGTGCTGGCAAAGCATTTGTTGAAACGCAAGGAGTTGGTCGGCGGGGGGTGCGAGGGACGACAAAGGCGAAGTCTGAGCCGCTGAAGCCGAAGCACAGGATGCGTGGATGTGGCCGGGAGGGGTTGTGGGGGCAGGGTGGTGCGGACGGAGGGTATGGCGGCGTTGCTGAAGGATGTGCAGGGCCTAGAGGCGAACACGCATGTGGGGAGGATGGTATTGGTCGTGCCGGTCATGGCGGTGCTGATGGTGCGGATGGTTTTGGTGCTGTTCATGCATCAGCAGCTGAGGTTGGCAGAGAAATTGGATACGCTGCAAAATTGGATGCAGCGGTGGGAGGTGAGGAGGAAGAGGAGGTCCACCTATCACGACCATCCGTCTTATCCGTAATATCAGCAGCCTTGCAAGGAAGGGGGAGGTCGAGGAAGGAGGAGACGCCTCGAAGGATAGTCAGGCTGAATTCACTATCCAGCGTTTTGCCTGGCAAATCCACATACATCCCATTGTGAATCTTCAGGCTGGGTGGCATGGCTGAGACCCCTACTTCCCGTGTCAGGAGGACCAACCCTCACTGGCACAATCCCCAGGAGTCAGAGCGTTCCGTTGTAGGACAACTAAAGTAAGGCGTGATATGTCATGTTGTGATGTTCTTATAATATCGTACAGTAATCGGGGCATTAGCCACAATAATGGATTGAAACTAATCATTTCCCACATTCGTATCCATTTTGGAAGTGGAGTGCTCTTTGAGGTTGCTGCCTTATTAGTGTTTATCGAATTCCTATTTGTATCTTGCTTGGTTTGGCCCACCAACATTTTGGAGATACTGCTAGTCCAATCACAAGCGCCGAACCCGAGGGATGCAAGACCAAGAATGTTCAGGCCGCTCCAATGTCATCGACCTGCTGTCGTCAGATTTTCAGAAACCGCTGATTCACGACGGAGTACGAAACGGATAACACGATGCCCCTCGAGTGGTTGACGTTGACGTGACATGGTGCCATGCTGTCCACCGACTGGCCAGAGTCGTTGGCCAGAATACCTTTTTGACGAATAGGGTGCTAGCTCCAAGGTTCCAAAGGAAAGAACCTTCGGCCTGATTCCGTTCCGTCCGAGCCAAGGGCCTGCCGAGGACGTTCAGCTTGATTCCATTCCCGTCCGTCAGCCAAGGGCCTGCTGCCGAGCTGAGCCGAACAGGGCCGAAAATCGCAATAATCTCTCATGTGAGACTGGGGAAGACCAGAAATGCTCTCAGGCAAGGAATATTCGTCTTGGTCATTCTGCTCTAACTGTCTTCTAAGGTCACAATTCGTCCTCCGCTCCTGAGTTCTGGGTGTCAACGTCAACCTAGCTTCTCCTAACTTAGCTACGTATATTGCTACCCCACAACTCGAAAGCTGCCTGTCTGTTTTCACACTCTTAGTTGAAGAGGCGTTGCTTTGGACATAGAGTTCGAACCGCCATGGGAAGCATCATGTATGATCCGTTTTACGTGAAGACATACCAGAAGTCACCTGGCGACGAGTTTGATCTTTTCAGTGACATCCATGTGAAGAACCCGAGCGCCATGCTAGGAGAGAGGAGCTCCAATATTTGCAGGGACTCCCAAGAGATGTCCTTATCGTGGCGACGGTTATCAAATTTCAACAGTCGGCTAGAGCAAAAAGTTGCAGAAGACATTAAGCGCTAAAGATTCTGCTTCAGCTGACACCTCGTCGACTGAAAGATACTGGAAACGACACTGGTGCCATCTTTTTTTATACTTGCGTTGCCGCAAATTAGCTCCTCTCTTTGTATCTATGTCCCTGTGATTCCCCCTATTTGTATTGCCGATTATATATGTGTTCTATCCACCACTTTCGCAGATATCATGGCACAGTCAAGGAGCACCTAATGTTTCAATTAACCAAATACCGGTACACTAATTTAAGCCTGCTGAACACCTGCCAGGCGGCAAACGGTGGCATTGGTTAAGACAAGGCCTTGGGCGCAGAAAGCTCCAGCCGCTGGGTTACAGTGGGAGTCGTCCTTGCAGTGACAGACACCTTCCAGAGCACACAGAGGACGGTATGTCTGCACTGGTGTCCTGCTGAGGCGAAACACCCTCATCGCCCACTCGTTGAGAAACAGGCCACGGGGGTCAAATTGTTGCCTGATAGTTGGCGGGAAGGCATACGAGAGGAAGTATCAGCAGAAAGAAGGCATGCAGAGTGAATGTTGTCCAGCCAGCAGGTTGCAACCTTACCTGACATGCAGGAACCGGGCTGCACCAGGGAGTTTGTGCAGAATGTTGTCAAAAGCAACATCTCTGTTCTTTCCCCAATGAGGCAGGGCATCAAAGAGCCTTCCTTGGATCTGCTCGAACTCATCAGTGATATCCTGCAAAGGGGCGAATGTTGAAAACCATCAGGCGCATGCCATAGTTGAGGGCTCTCCACAGCCAACTCCAGCCTAGAGTTCAATGAGATACACCCTATAATCGCCCCTTCACTCACCCCATTTGTACGAGGGTGGGAGACATTGGTGTTCCTGTAATACTGGATGTCCACCATAGCAGCATCCTCGCTGTTGCCAAGAAGCGTGCGAGACCCACGCATGAACCGGAAGAAAATGCCTCCGTACAGTCCAACACCACAGAATGCATTCTGTCTCATGTCCCGAATGCGCTTGATTGTCATAATGAACTCTGACCACAGAGAGGCACACAGACAGGTTTAATTTGGTTGCAATAAGACAGTGATTTGTTATTCCAACTTTAAAGGCTGCAGGCAACAGGAGAAACGTCAGATGACAGGACAGGACAAAAGCATTTGCTCAATCCCGTGGCATCCCTAACACTAATACACCTTACCTTTGAGACGTCTGAGTGGAATAACATGGGTGGTTTCAAAGAACTTGATGCCGCTGATTCGAGGGTCCCAGGCACACGTCTGCCTGCCGATGGGGTATTCTGGAGCGAACTCGCACCCACTGGATGATTGAATGCGGTTGTGGAATCCAACTGAAGAAGCAAGAGGGGGAATGGCGGAAAATATGGGGAAATTGGAGAATGGCATCCGTTGTGAATGAGAGGAACTTATGGCATGTAGACATGTGCTACACAGCCAATAACTTGGAAATACTTCGTCAACCCTGCAACCCGTCAAGCCTTGTGACGCCCGTATTGGTATGGGCCAAATGGTAGGCAACTCACCGACAGGGAAGGAGGAGAAGGAAGAACCATCGTTGGTGAAGCCACCACCCCCTCCAAGCAGAGTCGGTACCTGTCATTTGAAGCCGGAGATTGTGAGAGGAGCCTTCAGTGGTAAAAGCTAGTCGAACCAACAATGTCGCATGAGAGGAATATAAAGGAGATACTTTTTTTAGAGACGGACCTGGATGTTGAGCCATGCCTGGCACTGCTCGTCTGCATTGCGGGAGACCTCAGACTGGTAGTCTGGATGAAGGCAGGGGAAGAAAATCGGGAAACATTGCACATTACTGCAGGACAATTCGAAACAGGAGTTAAAGAAATACAAGCAGAAGGGGCACATACCCATGGCAGCAAGAGCAGACCAGACGTATTCAAGGCGGCCGGGGAAGAGAGGGAGAGTGTAGGAACCATCCCCTGGCGTGGCGACTGACACCAGGTTGTCCCGACGCCAGAAGACACTGGGAGGGGAAAGAGGGAGGGACGGGGACAAGCTACGTACTTCGATCCACCCTTCAGGACGTTCTGCAGAAGGTACACTCATCCGGCTAGGTTAGGGTGGGTGGTTAATGTATCACATTCGTGGCAAATCCAAGTGAGGAAGCAAGAAGGGTCGTGGGGGACTTGGCGAGGGGGCAGAGGTATTACCTGTAGGAGGAGGGGTACCAGTTGAGGTCCGGAAACGTTGTGTTATGGGCAAATGAGAGAATCTCATTTTCGATGTTGTCGTCACTGCAGCAAGAAGGGGAGGGGGGTTCACAATTGGTCAGAAGGCATGGTAAGTCACATGGTCATTAGAACTGGATTCTTCACAGTGTGGTTCTTAAAGATGAGTTGCAGACAGAGCAATAAGAAAAAAGGCCAAGCTGGGAGCAGCGCGAATGAGTCCACTTCACCTGGTGTTGTAGAAGACAATCTGGCGTTTCCACATGGGGTAGACCTCCAGCGTCATTTTCGAAATAGCTCCCAGCAGCCCCAGGTGCAGGCGGGCAGCCAGCAGCTCGTCCCCGCCCCTCACCTCCCTCACCCCCACCCACCCACTCGCCTCGTCCGTGGGGACCACCACGCGCACCCCCCGCACATACTCGCCCATGCGCCCGCCCTGGCAGTGGATGGGGTGGTAGTGTGGACGAACGAAAGTTGAAGAAAGGGGTGCTTTCCAAGCTGGATAAGCTAACTAAGCACAAAACAGAGGAACTATACAAGAAAAGACGTTGGGTGTACCTTGAACTGAAGTGTGCTGCCGTGGGAGCCGGTGCCAATGGCCCCCACCACAGTGACTCCATCCCAGTAGGGGGCGGTGGGGAAGGTGAGGTTGTAGCGCGCGAGATAGCTGAAGAGGTCATAGATCTGGGCAGACGAGGGGAGTTAGTGGGCGGCACAGCACATGCAGAGGGTTGGGGTGAGTCGAGCAGAAGAAGCTTATGGCCGCGGTGAAGGAGGGAAAATAAAGCGTGAGGAGTCTATTTTTGAGGTGCCTCAAAAATAGAAGCTTATGGACGCGGTGGAGGAGGGAAAATCAAGAGACACCAAGGATGACTTAGCCATAGAAAAAGGGGCTGATTTCGGAAGGCAGGTGAATTTCAGGGTGCCCCAATCTTTGCCTAAAAAGTTCCCCTCGCAAGTTGTATCCGGTTGACTGCTTTTATGTGACTGTAGCAGGGGGGCTCACCATAACACCAGCATCTACAGTGACGGTCATGGCCTGTGTGTCGAGTTGAATGCTGTTGTAGAAGGTTGTGACTATAATGACGCCTGTGTCCCCCCCAGGACAGTACCACTTGGCCGTGGTGTGGATGAACTGACTCACCACCTTCACCTGCCAGGTGCCATAGGGTCAATGGGTGCCATATCAGAGAGACGGAGTGACGGAGAGACAGAGAGACGGAGCGAGGATGGCAGAGCAAGAGTCGTTGGAAAAGAGACAGGGTCAGAAAGGACGGAAGAGGAGCAAGCGACGGGGAGTTACCGGGAGGTTGTTTTGGCTGGCGTAAGCAACGGCGGCGATGAGCTCGTCCTCGGATGCAGGGTAGAACACACGGGATGCCTTGCACGTGACACCATCGAAATTGGCACCATAGGCATTGTTCACAGTGCACGTCTCCGACCCTCCATTCTCACACTGCACCACCGGAGGCGGGACAGCAGCCACAGGATCCGTGCAGCAAAGTAGAAACAGCACGACTGTGCAGAAGGTGACAATAACACGCAGGAGAGTGTAGTCCCGAGCAGAGGGATGATTCTTAGTTGCAGACAGGTGTGAGCTGCAGGAGCGGAAGCGAAGTGTTCCCATTGTCGCTGGCGGCTGTTGCCGTTCGAGCCGGCTGTCTGCTGCTACTGGAGTTGTTGGTGCGCTCGCGATGCTGCTGAATCTGGCGCGGGTCCTTTCACTGCAGGCTGGTGTTACAATTCAGCGACGGTCAAACTCGGACCAGCGTCAGGAGCAGAAACTGACTCTCGACCAGCGACCCGATAGACTTAGCGTTGACGAAGCAAACGAAAAAGAGTATCCCGGGGTCCTTTGGCCTGGTGAGACTGCTCAAGCTTGCTCAAAATAGCTCAAGCGACGACTGGTGGAAGCGAGACAGACGAGTAGATTTGAGTCGTCCCAGATTTTAACTGGTGGAAGCGAGACAGACGTTTCTCGGGAGAGGCAGAACGACCCTGATGATGTGAGGTCGGAGGTCGTACGGACCTCCCAGCGACCAGTCTACCTTGGACGAAACCTCGGTAATTCCCACTCTCTGGGAATGTCGGAGCCGACGTAAGCAGACACTCAGCGACGGCTGAAGTTGTCTCTGATCAGCAGGATAAGCCAATTGAGGCCAGTGGTGCCTGATATACTCTTCCGGTCCTGTCGAGACATCCGAGAAACCAGGATGCTTGGAGCTTTCGGGTCCACGGATTCAGGCGGCTCGGAGCGGCCGCGGCTTGGGATGAAGCCGGTGAATCAGCGTGCGGCTTGGTGCCACGCTGGAGAGGAAAGACGCGACATGTGATGCGTGCGGGAGAGGGGAAGAAGCGAAGAATTTCACGAACGGGATTGTCCAAGATAAGCGATTCCTGTCCCGCCATGGGGACAGGACGTTTTGTGAAGGTTCATGAACTCTCGCGGCATGCGCCATCGTCATCGCCATCGCTAGCGCTGCGTCGCAGCTATGAACGACCTCCCCCGCTAGCATCCACAATGTCACGAAGATGACGTGTCGTGTGACATTGTAACGAGGTGCTTTTGAGTCGACTAAAAAATCCACGATGTCACGAAGATGTACATTGTCTGCATCATAGCAATAGTCAGGCCTCTATGGATGGCCTCTAACAGGACCCAATGACATCATGCCACGTATTCGCAATAATGCGTTGGACTGAGCTGACAGGAGGGTTGCAGTGACTCGACCAGTTCGACGAAAAGCACGTGAATTCCAAGACGGGTAGTCGGAGGAGCGGCAAAGCCTATGAAATCCCAACAGCAGCGTAGACTGCTGACTGCGACTGCTGGGCATCTGGGATTCAGCGTAGAGTTCATGGCTGATCCTAGCTCCAGTCCAGAGGTGTCAACTTCTATATCTGGTCTCGTCATGTCAAAGTTTATACTTCTGGTTGAGCAAATGTCAGGTTGGGGAAGAATTTATCCGCACTTGTGGATCACGCATGCCTCCCGCTGGGAGGTTGATAGTGTGAATATTCATACAGTTCTTAAAAGTGACTCTATGATGCCGATACAGCTTTTTATTCATGATAGGGGAAGTGGCTCACATCGATCATGTGTTATAGCAGAATTGCGTTAGTCTCATCAGCACCACCTCATTTCGGTAGTCATGAATCACCTTCAAGTGATTTAGCTTGCTGACGCAGAACAAAAGGTTTGCACGTCAGCCTCATCTAGTTTACGTAATTTACGGGCCCGAAATTCCGGCCGGACATCTCGCCGCAATTGCGTAACCAAGCTCAGCTGATGTGCCCTTTCGCGGTTCGGTTACCCCTTCCCTTGTGCCGTGATGGTCGCCCCCGCACAGAAGCTGCTGTCACGTGGGTACGCGGCACATACAGCTCACCCCCTACGATAGTGCACCATGCCCGCACCTGAGGAAATGCTGGTCGAATGCTGCATGGCACATGGGCCGAAACGACTCACTGGACCGAGCCAGAGACTTCCATGTTTTCAGGTACAGTTCATTAATAATTGAAAAGGATCGAAGTTCTATCTTGATTCAGCCTGTGAGTGAGGAAATGTAAAAGTTATTCTCGGACTCAGTTCTCGTCTCTGCGTTCCACCGTGCGAAACTGAGTAGTTCCGGGAATACAGACCCCGGAAGGCAACCCGAGGACCACCCTGTAATAGGCTCAAATTCGAGTCAATATTAGCGTCACTACCATTTCGGCAGGGTCATTTCTTCCCCAGAAGTCCCCAATGTCGAGCAACATGTGATTCACGCCCCTTGGATTACCCCAACTACCCCCCAGCCTTCAAGCTGTAACCAGGTTAGTCCACCAAACCACTTACCGCACCTGCGCTCTGCGCTTTTTTTGCCCCGTTGTGCCTCACTCTCCCTGTGCAGCCTCGTTCCCAGCACCACAGCACATTTGCGAAACCAGGCCAAGTACTAAAGCTCACTTGTCAGGTCCCGTAAGCAGATTAATTCCAGACGATTAACCACTAATTGCCCTTGGTCCAGTCACTTCAGCCACATACTGTCTCTTTCTACTACTCTAGAACCTAGTTCTGCTACAATGGTTTCCGTCGCCTCGTCAGTCCGCTCGACACTCTTTGGACAGTCCGTTGCTTGCGTGGGGAAAGAGGCTTCCCACGACAGCGCCAGATTCACAATGTCGGTTCCTTCCCAGCCGCCTATCAACCTATCGCTCTCGGTCCAAGCTCCTCAAAGACTGACCGTCCCCGACGCATTTCAAGAAAAGCCGCGAGTTTCCACTCCGGCGAAGGCTTCCGCTGCATCGCTTCGCAACGCAGACGGCTCGATCGCTATCAGCGTTCACGCGACGACAAGGGCTACTTTCAGTGCGGAGAAAGCTCGGCTATTGAGACAGAAGATGCGGGAGAGTGAGTCGTATCACGACACCATGTACCACTCCGGCCTCGCCTCGCGACTTGCCTGAGTTCCGCAGAGAACTCGGCGATTCCTTAATGGTTTCTGATTGACGACGGCTCCATGATCCTCAAACGGAACCAGGCGTCCGTCTTCATTTTTGGCTCCTATACATAGTTGCGGGCCGTCAACGTGTGCAACGACTCACGTCGCCCGAAGATGATGACTTGCTGTATATATTAACCAGAATTCTGTTTCGGATTGACTGGGAATAATTGGATTTTTCCATTGACTGGGCTTTATTTTGGCGTTCCTGCAGCCTAGTGCGCAAGCTGAGTTCGACAAGTGAATGTCTAAAGCCACCAGGTCAGAGCGGGCCTCTTCACTGCGTGTGTCTTTGGGCTAAGCCATGTTAATATGATGTGGTTTTGGGCTCACGTCCCGACTAGCTTCACGGGCAACTGTGCACCACAACCTCGGTCTTCACCATTTCGTGCGCCAGCGTTCAGAAATCCTTTCAGAAATTCCTCCAGGCTGTGATATGGTTTGAAACTGTTGTGACGCCCGTAGGATTCAGCTGGGCTTTTCGCAGAAATCAGCCCCTTGATCGCTCAAGCAAATCAGGATCGGTTGAGTTGAGAAGCATAAGCAATATTTAAAAAAAAAAAACAATAGTGTCACAATATACAGTAAAACTCTGCTCTACATAGCAACAATTACATGCCTAATGCCTGACGGTGGCGCCATCATGGAGGCAGCCCTGCACAAAATTGAGGAATTCCTGAAAGGCATCTCCCAGGAAGACCGTGGCTGTGATGCACAGCAGCCAAGAGCTCGTCACGCTAGTCGAGACGCGAGCCCGGAGTGATACATCGCATCGTGATGAGAGTCGCTCTTTCGGAGAGACAGTCGCAGAAGCCTGGCCTTTTCAGGAGTGAACTTCGGAGCGAGCTTTTCATTCGTCGTGATGGCGATGAAACCATCAGCTGCTCCAGGTAGTAGTTGCAGTGACTCCGTATTCAGCTTGAGGTGCTCCGACCGCTGATCCTTGGGTTGCCGCTTGCCAACGGAATCAACCGTAGCATCAGCCCTCACGCACAAACTTCCGCAGCTGGATTGACTCGATACAGGCTTCCTTGAGTGGACTACCAAACATTGGCCAGTGAATGAAGAGCCAAGGATCGTAGCCATGGTTGAGGAAGAATATCTACCGCACCGTTAGTCTGACTGATGATAGAAGCAAAAGACAGCGGCGAATACGAGGCCCGAGCTGGTAAGACTCGGAATAATATCAGGTGCTATTTGAAGCGTGGGGGAGCAAAAATGTGGGCTTTATCATTCGAAAAATGCCACTTTCAACTCGGCCATACGTTGAGCTGGGGTGGTCGGAGCTCTGGTCCCAGCCCTAGTCGGTTTCAGTGTGGGGGTGGGTGGAAGTACGGCTGAGGGCAGAGCTGCAGGGAAACGCAACGCAGCGCGACCCATTCTGCTGCACGCACGCAACCCAGCTTACAGTTGCAGCATCAGGAGGGGAGCGAACCGGAGAATGCGGTGAATCTCGAATGTGCGAAGGAATCTCGCCTTGCATGGTCGCAGATGCGTCAGAGACGTCGAAAGTTGCCCAGTTGCTGTGGCCGCCTCGTCACGAGTGACAGTAAGACAGGTCAGCCGGTGGGAGATTGAGATCACTGGGCAGCACCTGAAATCTGCAGCCAGGTGGTGGACGACACCTGGCCGTGGCGTCTAGCATGGCGCATCGCTGTTGGCGACACTCCATCGTGTGTTCGCGTCAGCGAAACTGGATTCCACAAAGCTGACGCACAATTATGCGACTGGCAGCTGTTCGCATGCGTTGCGACGTTAGCGAAATGCAAGCGCAAAGGCGGCACGAGACTACAAATTTCTGCGCAAATTTCGGCGATGATCGAGGTAGCTTTGGCTTCGAACCAGAAAAACTTTACACGTCCGCCCTATTTTCGAAAGTGACTGTGACTGCGTGGACAAAACCGCTTTTCACGTGCCGAGTGTGGCACAACGCAGAGTGCAGCTTGGATGTAATAAGAGAATGTAACTGAAAGCAATAAAATCATATTGTAGTTACTCATATCAACTTCGCTGGTTTGGGAATATAGCGTCTCTCCCTTTTTTGACCATCCATTGCTCACATCTTTTGAATATGGCATCTAAGATAAAACACTTAGCTTGCATGTCCCTTATATTCCTTTTGCTGTTTGTCATTATATTGCCTAGTATTCAAAGTTGGTGAACTGAGCTGAGGTTTTGAACTTGTGACACCAGTGACCATTCATGTGGAAGATATGTACCCACATAGATGTGCATCGTATGTGGCAATTATGCTCTATGTGGCGATTAGGCATTCCTTGCACAATCGTGCAAAGCAATATCATACTCTATTTGTGCAACGTCACGTCCAGAGTTTGGAGAAAAATCGAGGTTGCGTATGGCAGATTTACTGGGAGAGAACAATCGTATACTGGCATAAGCATTGTGCCATAGAACAATGAATAAATCAATAAAGCACTGCGTCGACCAGGATGCTAGCAAAAATTGTATGTACTCCCTAATAGAGAGCTCTCTACACGTAAGGACCTTTTCCGCTGTACATGCTGGCATGGCACGTCCGTTGTCAGGCCAGATATAAGTACAAGGAGGTAATCTCACGCCAACCGAGAGGCGAGACCCGAGTGATACATCCTGTCGTGGTACGACTCGCTTTCGCGCATCTTCTGGCGCAGCAGGCGGGCTTTTTCCGGCGTGAATTTGCTCGCCACCGAGGCGCTGATCTGAATAGGCAATTCGTCGGGAGAGCTCGATCCGTTACCCAATAGAGACGCAGATGACGTCACGGAGGAGTGTGAGTGCCGCTTCCCGGCGCCACTGGCGGTGAGCTGAGAGGATAGCCTGCCAGCGTCATCGGCGCGGTTCATGGGGGAAGAGATTCCCGAAGGCGCGTCGCCGTGCTTGGAAGATTCGTGCCGGGACCCGATGAGACTCGCGGGAGGTGCGTGCATGGAGAGGGACCCGCCGCCCTGTCGCGGTGACGGCGGCGTGGCCATAGATAACGTGGTGCATCGACGGCTGGCAGGAGCGTTGGTGGCGATGCGTATGGACTGCGGGGATGCGGGGTTCTGGAGGAAGGAGGACACGAGGCCGTTCTGCATGGAAATCGCCATCGCAGTTGCTAATGAAAGTCAGAGCCTTAGTAATCACTAGCTGGGATGCTCTTAGACTATGAGAGATTTAGAAGGCTGGTAAACACTGGCTGGTAGTACTGCGAGTAGAAAGCACGATCAAATGGGTGCTGCTGTGGATGCGTAGGTTTGGCAAGTAGGAGCAGAAAAGGGCGAATGGTGAATTGAAGAAGGGAAGGAAGGTCTCGGCGCTTTATGCACTTCGTGAGGGTTCGAGATCGGACGAGTCAGCCGTACTTGACGGAGAGAGGGACGAACTACTGTAAATGCTACGCTTGCGCGATCGGCCTTCCAGCGCGCTACCAGCATACCACCCGCCACTTGCTTCACCTACCGCACCTTCCGCCCGCGCGTCCTTGTCGCATACTGCCAACCTTTCCACGCAATCGCTCCCTAATTTACGCGCGCTCGCTTTCATGTGACTCCGTGAATGTGGTCGCGAGCAAATCCGAGTGCCACTCGAAATTTGGGGTTCGCGGTGATCACGATTCAGCGTTCCTGTGTTTGGGGGGGGGGGGGGGATTCACGATTTCCGTCAATTTCACTTACGCGTGCGGAAATTGCTGCCGTGTAGCCGTCGGAAAAAAATTGGTGGGACGCCGAAGTCTGCGTGTAGTAGGGCAGAGGGGGGGAATGTGCTCTCCTGTCGCGTTTGGCTGACTCGTCGTTTTCTCCTCCAATACAGTATATCCCAGCCGGGCAGCGGTGGGGCAGCAGCGTGAGGTCTTGGTGGAATTTTCCGCACCGCAACTGGCAGGAGTGCTGCCAGCATCCTCTCAACTTCGGAACGTGAAACTCGCCGAAAGCCAAGGATGCAAAATGTCGGAATGCAACGCGTCTCGACGCACGAGGCGCTCCAAGAATCCAGCAGAAGAATTCCACATTGGTCAATGGAGTGATAAAAACGAAATGGTTCTGTACTGAATCTACTCCATCCACTCCATCCAGGATCTCGTTAATAACAGCATGTAATAAAAGTTCAGGTACCTTATTACACTGATTTATTGCGCATTCATACATTAGGAACATTTTGTTCAAATGAGCCGTAACACGTCCCACGTCAGTAGTTTAACTGTTTGCTTGAAGACTCGTGTGTTTTGAATGGCATATCGCCATGCTGTAATCAAGGGACACGCAAGGGTTGCGCCCTACCTATCACATAGCTGCTGAGATATAATGTCTCGGCACCACCAGGTACGAAGGATGTGGGAAGTATACCAGTGTTGTACACCAGGCCTGACTGGAACTACTTGGGAAGAGCTTGTTGCTTGCTCCTTGCTTGTTGCTTGCTCATTGCTTGTTGCGCACCAGGGCTTGAGTGTGCCTAGATTTTGCCTTCCCAACTAAAAAACGTAACGAAATCAATAATAAATACACCGTAATTGACGAAGGCACAGGTTACGCTAAATAATTGAACAAGCACAAAGAATACACAAGGGTGGCTAAGTGTTTGCTGCTCCGGGCAAAAGCACGGCTGATCTACCAGCAACTCAAATTTGGCCCGCATACTGCATGTAGGACCGCGGTTTCAGGCCAATCTCGATGCCAGACCAGAGTGATACATCCTGTCATGATGTGCCTCGCTCTCCTTCAACCGCAAGCGCAGCAGCCTGGCCTTCTCAGGAGTGAACTTCGGAGCGGCGGAATCATTCACTCGGACAGTGACTCCAGCCCCATCAAGTGGCCCAACGGCAAGAAGGGACGCTGATAATGTGGTGGGAGATCGCTTTGATAAATGAAGACCCGGAACAGGCGCGTGAGCCGTTGGCGACGCGATCTCTGATCGCAAGGAATCGCCTGACCAGGCGTTACAGTCAGAAGAAAGTAGCTCTGCACGTATGGGACTCCGTGATTGGATCGCCGAAGAGTTGGGTCTTTGCATCGGAGACGCCACCGATGTCACTGGTCGACCGACGAATGCAGAAGTCATGGCGGAAGGAAGAGACTTCGCGGGAGACATGGCGAGGGCCATTGCTGTAGGAGCGCAGAGAGTGAGGCTGAGGGGGAACTCGTGGTAATTCGGAGAATGAGTCGATGACAACTTCAACCAAGGAGATTCTAAAAACTGCGTAGGGGAAACCAAATGCAGATGAGCAGCTGGTCGATTCCCTGAGGGATTTGTGCTCGAATATTCGAACAATCCAGCTGGGGAATTCGTGTGTGAAGGAGCCAGTGAGGTGAGGATCCAGTCCAGAGGGAAGGTGGGGAGGATGCTGCTGGCTGATCATCTTTTCCGGAAATGGAGGAATCACCTGGGCACCTCTAGGTGGGCTGGTCAGAAGGTGATGAAATTGCGTGCCGCACCTGCTCTTGGTTTAGAGTAAATTACACTTTCATTATAGATTAGACCAAACAGCATTTCTGAACTTCCCACACTTCAAGGTACCACAATTAGGAGACAAAGGGCAGTTCCCAAACAGTGGAACGGCTTGACAAGAGAAACTTTTGCAAAGAACACCGACGAATGGCAACAATCTTTAGCGCAAACAATTCAGGTTCTACCAGTGTCAAAACGAACAATTTCAACCGACCCTGCGAGCCGCTACCAGCAAGGAAATTGCAGAGGCACACAACCCAATTCCGTCAGCGATAACTCGAGTGATTTACGGGCTTTCGTGGCCAGGGTCAGCATACGTGCCCTCTTCACTGACGAGTCAGCGACATTTGAGCCACGTCACGTCGGCGTGGTTGCTTGTGGCTAAGGAAAATCTTCTTGGTGGCACTTTACTGGCACGTGGTGATGGAGAGTAAGGAAGTTGCCGCTGCAGCCTCGCTGGACGGAGCTGACGTTGATGCTGCTGTCACCCCTCACACCACCACCGCCTTACTGTGTGGGCTTAGTTTATCATAGCCTTCCAAAGGTGACTTTACTCCAAGCGCTAATGGGACTGTATCGGATGAGAATATTCCACGTGTGCCGTGACCTGCCTAACCACGTCACTGGGCCCGATGTCGGGCCACGTGGTGATGGAGGTGGCACCTGATCCATATTCTTCACTGGGAAAATTGGAACAGGAGGGCGCACTGACAGATTGATTCCCGTCAGCTCATGCGAAATGCCAAGCTCCAAATGCCGGATGCGAACGTGTAAGCGAAACGAAGGATGCGAAATGCGGAGCGACATGGGCAATGCGAGATATGACGAGACGAGGCTGCTTGGGCTTGACCAAATCCTCGCAGGCGCCTGATTCCTCAATGCCATAACCTTGGCTTGCAATTTCAGTATTTTCTTCGCCACGGCCACAACTCGGAAAAAATCCGTAATTTCTCATCTCTCAATTTGACCATCAGGTCCTCGTCATGGCAGCCACATTGTATGCTCGGCCTGCAGCCACTGTCGCCTCCTTGGCTTCCTGCCAGGAGTCTCGCGCGAATGTTTCTGTGAAAGCAAGTGCCTGCTTTGGCAGCAGGAACCTGAGCTTCGCTGCCGAGAAGCGACTGGCTGGGCGCAGCCAGGAACTTAGACAAGCGATCGCCAAGGTAACTTTCGTCTCGCTGTCGCTGTGATGCACCTAGCACTCCTCGTTAGGCGTGAAGAGTCTACGGCTGGGTTAGGAGTGCAGCGCAATGTGATCAGCCTTCACCTCTGAAGCACGCCTTCCTTCCTAAAATTTCACGACTCAATTGTTATTTCAGGCGAGCTCCAAGCGCGTCGTCCGCAAGGCTGCAGCTACCACGGCAATGGCAGAGGTATGAGCACAGGCCTTGATTAGGTAGTGCATCAGTAGGAGCGCAGGCCTTGATTAAAGTAAGCAGTTTCCCAACCATTCACTGTGGAACTTCGAAGGAGTCGCTAACGAGTGCCATGATCATATCCACCGCTTTCCATGAATGTGCGGATAAAAACAGTGCTTTGGACATTGAACTGTCGCCAGTGGCTCAGTAATTTCCGTGACATTCCCTCGATGCTTCCCCCACATGCTGTCTGTGCACCGTAGGCAGTGGAGCGATCCTACATCATGATCAAGCCCGACGGCGTGCAGCGAGGGCTGGTGAGTGAGACTCTTCTTTACTACCGTTCCGCCATCGACACTATGTGTTGACGTCAGCGGGTACATCAAATCAAACACACTACTGTATACATGCAGACAGTAAGGCCTTGAATCAAACCCCTCGGTTCTTTCATGTCCAACATTTCCCTCCCCTTGGTGGGTGTGTGCAGGTGGGTGACATCATCGCTCGCTTCGAGCGCAAGGGTTTTGTCCTCCGTGGCCTGAAGCTGTTCCAATGCCCTGAAGAACTCGCCAAGGTGAGAACAAAAGGGTATGCGTGGTTCGGAGAATGGCAAGCAGGGGGGATGCAGTACGATGTGCCATCCACTCTGTTTGGTATGAGACGCTGCAGCGATGTGCAGAGGATGAGGAGATTGATGAACGAGCAACCAGGACTCGCCTTTTAACATTCCCTTGCCACCTAACACCTTTCCCCCCGTCGCGTCTCTAAGCAGGAGCACTACAAGGAGCTGTCTGACAAGCCGTTTTATGGCAAGCTGGTTGAGTACATCATCTCAGGCCCGGTCGTTGCCATGGTAAGTGATGATGTTCTGCGATGCAGCTTCTCGACACTTTCTGTTTCAGGATTCGAAAAGACTCATGCCTTGTCACATTTTCTGGTCATTGCTCTTGGTTAAACTTCCGTCACATTCTACTATTCCACCTTGGCGTTTATGGCAGGTGTGGGAGGGCAAGGGCGTGGTGGCTTCAGCTCGCAAGCTGATTGGCGCCACCAACCCGCTCGCTGCTGAGCCAGGCACCATCCGTGGCGACCTCGCAGTCGAGGTTGGCAGGTAAGCTTTCTACATTAGTACTCCAGGATGTGCGAGTAATGCGCTAGGAAGCATGGCAGGCACTGGATTGTGCAGCAGTCTTCTAGTAGTCTGAGGGAGGAATTTGTTCGAGCCACACACTTAAGGTTGCTAACGTTTTCTGTATGTTCTTTTTTTTTTTCCAGGAACGTCGTCCATGGCAGTGACAGCATTGAGAACGGCGAGCGTGAAATTGGTGAGTCTTCTCCTTTTTCCCAAACTTCCTCTTTGCACCCTCCCCCTCCTCCTATCCTCTCTTGTTTAGTTCTCTTGCTTCCTCATCTTTCTTTTCATCCCATGACAACCCTAGCCAATATTTTGTCCAACGACAGCCCTGGACCCAATTCTTTCCTATCACCTCTATTCGTGCGCAATATTAACCTGTCTTGTCCTCCCTCCCCACTTCCCTCCCCCCTCCCTATCTCCTGCCTCCTTCCCTCTCCCTCCCCCTCCTTCCCCATGATCATGATGTGGCTGTGAGCAGGGCTCTGGTTCAAGGAGGGCGAGCTGTGTGACTGGGAGCCCGTTTCAACCCCCTGGTTGAGGGAGTGATGTGTGACACCCCTGAGACAGCAAACTCATGTGACGCAGATCATCAACCAGCGGACATGTACACATTAGACCAGAAGTTCCAGAGTACGTGTACATGTACCAAATCGAACCAGAACGTGAAATGCACTGCAGAGCATGGTGTATACAAAATTATGTGGCATGGCAGTTCAATGCAATGAGTACTAAGCCCATGCTTTTGTTCAAGTCTACCAATTGTAAACAGCAAACAACCATGACTATTCAATGACATAAAATAGATGACACATCCACCCATCTCATAACTTGGTAGTGGAATTGTTCTCCTATCCATGATAAAGGGTGCAAACTAATCAAAAATCTGCTGCACGTCGGTCGATTCATTTTCTTGCCCTATTTCACCCTATAGCAACATTCTTCCTATTGTTGACACCTCTTTCTTGAACATTCCCGTCAGACAGTCTAAGGTGTCAGTCAAAGCTTCTAATTCACTGTGTAATCACGAATCAAAAATGATAATGCACTCGGCTCATGGCTCAACTGTAACAGCCCATCAACAATGAAAGCCTGGGGGAGCCGGAAACAGTCCAGCTGTAACTTTGACAAGATTTGCGCTTGATGCCCTCTACTCGCGCAGCCAGGGGAGCAGTGTTGGGTCCCACTTGATAAGCTCTGCCTCCTTGAACCACAAACCTGCAAGAGAGGTTATAACCGGGGGTTAGGCGTGTGAAGGGGGTGGGGAAGGGAGGAAAGGTGAGGGAGAGGGGTTGGAACGGCTGTTTACAGAGTTTGCAGAGAGGCTGGAAAGTTCAGCAAGAAGAGCCAACAATAGATCTCTTCTTAACCACCACAAAGCACAACACCGAGGGTTGAAACACATGGAACGGAAACTGCATTTCTTCATTGCATGCAGGAAAATGGTGCTTACCGATTTCACGCTCGCCATTCTCCACGCTGTCGCTTCCGTGCACAACGTTCCTGTGATGTAAGAGCGGCGCACGGAAAGGATTAGGTGCAGCAAATCGAAACAATCAGCTGCAAAAAGGGAGTTAAACGAGTTGGGGCAAGAATGCGCGAATCCCGACTACGACAAAGCGATCTCTGGCAGATTTAAAGCACAAGCCCAAAACGACATGGACATGCTGGTCATGCTGGTCATGCTGGTCATGCTGGACATGCTGGTCATGCTGGTCATGCTGGTCATGCTGGTCATGCTGGATTCCTTACCTGCCAACCTCGACTGCGAGGTCGCCGCGGATGGTGCCTGGCTCGGAAGCGAGGGGGTTGGTGGCGCCAATCAGCTTGCGAGCCGAAGCCACCACTCCCTTGCCCTCCCAGGCCTGCAAGCCAACACGGCACCGTGCAGAGCATTAGTCAGCGTGAGGATCTGTGTGCTCGTTCGGATTCTCCTGCCATGTGATATGATAGATCATGATTGGTGCGCTTTCCTGTTCCCCTTTCAAGGCCAGAAACCTACCACGGCGACACCAGGCCCGGAGACGATGTAATCCAGAAGACCCTCGTAGAAGGGCATTGCGATTCGAAGGGCTGTACCGCGTTACGCTTGTGTAACAGTACTTCTAAAGATACTGTAGCTATTAGAATGCTGCTGAAGACCTACCATGGCGACAACGGGACCGGAGATCATGTAGTCGACGAGGCCCCTGTAGAAGAACTCGCCGGCAAGGACCTTGTTCAAGGGCTTGCCGAAACCTACTACTGAGTTACATTGTAACCACGCACCATGGCGACAACGGGGCCGGAGATGATGTAGTCGACGAGGCCCTTGTAGAAGGGCTTGTCAGCGAGGTCCTTGTAGTGCTCCTCTGCGAGCTCCTTGGGGCATTGGAACAGCTTCAGGCCACGGAGAACGAAACCCTTGCGCTCGAACCGGCCGATGATCTCCCCCACCTGCAAGCAGGGTTGAGAGAAAACCCGAGTGAGCACAGGATCTTCAAGCGAAGGGTCGGTTGCGAAGGAGGTTGGTCCAGGGTACAGGACGACGAACGAAAGCATCACCCAGGGCAACAGAAGGGTCTAAATGCCCTAATACGCTGGACATGGCGCAAATGATCTGACAGTGCGTAGCAACTCGAACCGATCTGGCAGTGCGCGGCAAGCTGAGTGTTTATGGTGATGCCACGTACCAGGCCGCGTTGCACGCCGTCGGGCTTGATCATGACGTAGGAGCGTTCCTGAAATCAACGAAAATGGGGTACCAGGAGAACTTCCGCAGACGTGAGCCAAGACGGTCATGCGATTCTGAAAAACAGCACTAAGTCAAGAACTTGACACCGAAGGATTTTGATAAATCATGCAGATTGCTTGATCACGACTCGGTTCAACCATAACTAACCGTCATTTTGTAGGTCTTTGTTTCCTGCTGAAGCTTAGAGGATTGGCACGTTTGAAGATCGCCAGAAGAGACAGCAGCGGCAGAGTGGTAGATCTCAGAAATGACTTCGTGAGAACTGGTTTTCTGAGAAATGGCTTCTGAATCCGAAGCTGATGCTGAATTTGGAGCCAAGGCAGCCAAGCCAGGCACAAACACCATGGGTGCGAGGGCTACCAGCAGAAGCCAACTACAAACCGCATAGCACCGTACTAGATCACGTAACATTGCAGAGAAACACTCCGGACCACGGAGAAGCGGAGCGAAGATATTGCGTTGATATTGAATGGGAGCGGGATCAATTGTGTTCCCCCTTTTGTGGAACACAGGGTGGGGCGAAAATGGTCTGCTGTCAGCAGAAGCTTCCCAGCGTGCCACCTCGGACGCCACGCGCAGATCACACACAAACCCTGAACCTCTGAAGATTCGTCCGCATCTCAGCAGCTAAGTGCATAAACAGAAGTTATAGGAAACAACACCTTCATGTATTCAATTATATTTAACCCACATCCACAAAAGGTACGTCGACGAGTCCATGCATTTTTGCATCATACAGTAGCAATAATTGTGTAGATATACGAAACTAATGTATCGAGAGTGCCTATCATATCCAACCCCTCTTACAGCCATATCTACCCGGTTCTCTAAGAGCACGTCTCTGACCGACACACGCATTACCGTGTCACGGGATCCTCTTCCATGGGTAGCTGCGTGGATTTGATACGATACTTCCATGACACGCTTGCTGCTGGAGACGCGCCCTAACCTAACCAAACAAGCTCCTCCGAACCCCTGATGCAGCATGCACAGAATGCTGTGACGGTGCACGCTGATGCTGCTCCTGATAGAGCTTTTGTTCATCCTTCACTCGAGCCTTCACATGCATGGCCATCACCACCTTAGACAACCTGTGGAGGGATGGAATGCCACATAAAAGGATAAAAAGCATTCACCAAGTTGATTCGATTCAACCACCTGTCCAATGTTGAAAACATGTAGCACAAGAACAAGAGACACACCCATAAATAGCGCAATGGCAAAAACAAATGTACTGTAAGGTTTGTTGAGTTCTGACTCACCTGTACAGTTTCTCCCCTCTTAGGGACAGCTTAGCACATAGCCAATCTGGAGCAATTTCCTCTAGAAGCTTCAATTGCTCCTCAATCTCCTCTGCAAGGTACACAGCGGGACAATGGAATTTTGGGATTAGGCCGACAAGGCAGAGTGCACCACAACATGGGTAGCAAAAATGCACAACATGGGTAGCAAAAATGCAGCTGAACTGACGCAATGGGCCTGTGTGCGCCTGGTCATGCCAGAATCGTACCTTGGTTCGTCTGCTTGCTGTGATTGGCCACAAGCCGAACCACGAGGTCCCTATGTGGCAGCACAGCAGCGCGACAGCTGGCAAAGAGAGCCACTACCATGTCTGCTAGAAGAGGCAGCTCCGCCAGGAGCAGCCGTCGTCGCCGCGCCTGCCGAGCCTCCTCGGTAGCCTCGGCACGCTGCTCCTCCTCACGCTTACGAACCTGGAAGTTGGGTTTGGGAAGGCGAGGGAAGAATGAGCTGCCAGGTTTCAAAGAGAAGTAACCATGGCCGCTCAGGAAGATTGGAGCAGAAGGGAGTGACTGAATGGTGGAACCTGGAGGCACAACAGGCGCAGCACAGCACAGCATACAGACTGAGAAGATTATGGGGTTTCACCAGCATACAACTCTGATCAAGTCTTCGCCCCAGAAGTAAAAGAGAAAGTCTTTAAATTCCACGTACCGAGTGCACGAGTCCTTTCGGCAGGCGAGACAAGATTTCCGAGTCACTCCCCCCCTCGCCCTCACTGTCTTCCCCCTTCTCCCCTCCTTCTCCTTGCTCCCCCCCAACCCTCTTCCCCTGCTGCTGCATTGACCCCAGCTCTCCCACCACATCCCCTCCCCATACCTCCTCCTCCCCCTCCTCCTCAACCCCCTCCTTTCCTAATGCAGCACCAGCACCAGCAGCCGTAGCAGCAGTAACAGCATTAGCACCAGCAGTACCACCAACACCGCCAGCAGTAACAGCACCGGCACCCACCCCACCATCCTCCGATATTCCAAACAGCAGCTGCCGCCCCGCTCGAACTTGCTCTGACCTAGCCTCTGATGCTCCCGCCGAGCCTCCCACGTTGGTTCGGCGAGCCAACCGATCTAACGAGGGAGTGAGGTCCACTCTCACTCGAGCACCCAGGTCCGGGTTTGCATACCTGCCGAACCTGTCCGCCGAAGCAGGACGATGGCGATGGCGAGGTGAGGTGGACCGAGCCTGCAGAACAGGCCTGGTAAGAGGTGCAGCAGTTGGCGCCGAACCAAGACCAGCTCCGGCAAAGGTAGTGGTGGTGGATGCAGAAGCATCAGGGAATAGGCTCCTGCGGCTGCGAGGGTGACTAGAGTGATTGTGGGTAGTCTCAGCGTGACCTGATTGAGTGTGACTATACTGAGCGTCGAGTGATGCACGAGCCTCTTTGGAGGGTGCAGGGGAGGGCGAGAGGGGGTCTGGTAAAGTCTCCTCCGGTATAGTCACATTTTCTATAGCCACACCCCTATCACCTCCTTCTGAAACCCCCATTGCGTGTGCCAGTCTCCGCAGCCTCGCCCTGAACTCCCTCTTCCTCCACATCATACCACTCTCCTCACTCCTCACCCTTCCCCCTGCCACGCTCCCAGCCCGCCCAATAGCACTTCCTCTCGGAAAGCCAGAGGCAGCCGCAGCACTGAGCACAGCAGCAGCACCCGCAACCGCAACAGCAGCAGCACCCTCCAAGTGCGTTTTGCTGTCCCTCCCCCCTTCCCCCCCCTCATCACCATCACTCCCCGTCTCCTCCTCTCCACCCTCTAGCACTATCTTCAAGTCCCACACACTACGTCCAAACCTTGCCGCCCTGCCTGCCGCCCCTGAGAACTTGACAGGGGAGGAGTTTTTTTCGGGCAGCAGAACCGATTCCACTCTAAGTAACGGCACGCCACTGACAGCCTGGCGGGCGGAAGCTCTGCTAAGTGCTGCTGTACTAAGTGCAGCAGGACCAATTGAGCCCTGCTTCCCATCTTGTCCTTCAATCCCCCCTTCCTCTCCTCGACTCAGTACAGCCGCCCCTCCCCGTCCCTCCTCCCCGTTGTTCCATCCTTCCCCCCTCTCTTTTACCCCTTCCCCCCTTCCTCCCCCTTCTCCCTTTTCTCCCCCTCGTCTCCCTCCCCCTCCCCCTTCTCCCCCACCTCCCCCTCCCCCTCCCCCTCCCCCTGCCCCTCCCCCTCCCACTGCCCCTCCCCCGCCCCCCACGAACAGCATCTGCGCCAGGTGCCTCCTAGTGAAGCGCCTCTTAGTCACGTCCTGCACCGCGTCTTTAATCGCCTGGAAGGAGCACAGAAGCTTCCTCGCGCGCAGCAGGCGGCAGCTCAGCTCCAGCGCGTCGAACAGCTGCGCAATTTCCAGGAACCTTCTCAGGAGGGAACGGATGTTGGAGAGGCGTAGCAGGACGAGGAGGCAGGGGGGGAGGGGAGAGTGGAGAGGTGGAGGGGGGAAGGGGGGGGGAGGACGGGGAGGGTAAGGGGAATCAGAAAGTCAGGAGACGACGGGGAGGTAGAACCTTTAACGGCAGAATCAGAAACTGGGCGAGCTGGGACGGAAAGGGCGGAACAGGGGGGTACAGGGCGGAACAGGGGGGTGTCGGAGACTCACTGGGGAGGCAGCGCTTCGACTTCCTTCTTCACTGCTAGAACCACTGCAGACGAGCTCGCGGCTTTTACGGCTGTTCGTCCTCCTATCCCTCCTCCTGCTGTTCTTTTCGAAGGTGACTGCACCGGGGGCACGCCAGTCGCTCCGCCTTTCACCCCCCCTGTTGCTGCTATGACCGTTTCCGGCCCTTTCAGCTCCGGAGCCAGGTTTCGTACCCCTTGCTGACGTGGCACCTGGACGCCCACCATGGCTGCCAGAACCTCGCCACGTGTCTTGGGCCCACTGGCTCCGCTTCCGCGGCCGCCGGGCCCGGCGCTTCCCCTGTGAATGCGGTTCCAGCGGAAAAGGTCATCCCCGTCCGCGTTATTAGACGACGAGAAACGAGCCACAGCTCTGTCTGCTACAGTGGCACTTCCAATAACACCACTGGTAGCAGGCATAACGGCAGGCATAACGGCAGGCATAACTGCTTCAGAGACCTTGAGCTCTTCTTTCGTCGCCTTACCTCCCTTATCTTGATCAATCTCTCCCCCATTCTCCTCTCCTACTCCCTTCACGCATTCCTCGCCACCCCCCTCTGTCTGTTTCTCCCCCTCACATCCCTCCTCAAACACTATCTCAATTTCCAAATCCTCCTCCTCCTCGTCTTCTTCTTCCTCCTCCTGCTGACCAATCTCCTCCCTCTTGCCCTCCCCAATGTCTCTCACCCGCTCACTCCCTCGCCCCTCCTTCCCGTCAGCTTGAAACGCCTCCCGACTCGTCTCAAGCGACACCTTTCCGCCCTCGACCCCACCCGCTCTCTCCTCTCCAAACGCCAGACGCCGATATACCTCCAGTCCCGCCGTTGCGCCACTCCCGGCCGATTTCTCCCCCATTCCTCCCTCAACAGCTTCCCCCGATGCGCCCTTCCCCGCGCTTCCCCTCGTGCCCTCCCCTATCTTGCCCACTTCGCCCCCGTCGTTTCCCCCCGCAACCCCTTCGGGATTCCCACCCGGAAACAAAACACGCCGGCCAGACAACGAAGTCGGGCCGGCCTGCTCCTTAAACAGTAACCCCTTCCCGCGCAAATCACTGGGCGCGCTGTTTACTAAAGCGCCGGCAAAGTTTCGGGTAGACTCGAGAGGCCGCTCCGGGCTTGCGCCGGGGGAGGCGACGACGTCGACATGCGCAGGGTCGAGGATGCGCCGGCGCTTGCGCGGAGCGACCGCAGATCGCCCGCCAGAGAGCGTGGCCGGGGGAACCCTCCGGATGGGCGGAGTGCCTAGCGGGAAGTACGACTCGTCGTCCATTTGTAAACGCTCTCTCAGGCCGCTAAAATCGTGACGCTCTCAGCAGAACTTCGAGTTCTTCGAAGAGTCTAAGATCGAGCTCTATATTTACCGAATCCCAGATATTGGCGAGACTAGGACCATTCCGAAATGCCTAGAGACGTAAGCGCACTTTTCTTGGAGATCAACGGCTACATGCTATCGCAAAACAGACGGTAACGACCGTAACGACGGAATGACTACCGCAAAAGAGACGGTAAGGGACGGTAAGCTATGGGCATGCGAGAAAGCAAGCTAAGTTCAAAGCCTGCTCGCGCGAGGACAGCAGCGTTGGTGAAGCATTAGCGTCGTACTACTGGGCTATTTAGTAAATTGAGGTTTTAGGCGGTACTGTAGGTCTCAGCTGAAACGGAGGAGTTGAGTTGAGATCCCCTAGGCTGTGGAAGGAGCTGCAGCTGAGTGGACCCCCAGCCGCACAAGGTGAACCCTGGGAGTTCCTTCATGCCTTTCCACGCGTCAGCCTATCACAGCCTACAATTCAGCCGCAGCTGAACGGATATTCTGTTCCCGAATCCGAGAAACAGCATGACATGGGGAAATACAGCAGGAGCTCCCGCCATAACCACTTTTCCCAGCCCAGACCTGGAAGCCAAAGGGCCACTCATGGCGGCGGATTGTGATGTGATGTTGCATGGAAGCATGCCACGCCTCCATACCCAAGGGAAGTGCAGTATAACCGTACACCACCGCACATCACATATCCTCACACAGCCAAGCTTGCATGTCATGCTCCGAACCGCGTGGAGGTTGGAGCTCCCCTGCCAAAGCTTGACGGCTCACGAAAAGCGGCCGAAAGTCGTTTGGCGCAAGCAGCTCTGATTGGCCACGAATTTCGCGCATGACGTTAGCAATGCTGTGACGCCTTCCCGTTTCCGTGGTTCCCGCCTTCCACATAACGACTGATGTTCACAAGATTCAAATAGGGTGCGAGCTACACTAGGCAAGGGAAACATTCAAGAATACCTCATATCTGTCAATGAAACACACATCCGTACTATGCCAAATAGACGTGACATTCCGGTACCTTAGATAAATGTCGTGTTGACAATGTCCAAGAATGCATGCACTGCCAATGCCAATGATCCCAAATGTACAGCATAACGCCTGGAACAACCTAGGCCATCACTCCCATCCTGCAAGTCATGTGTCGTCTTCCAATAGGTCCTGCTGGTGAAGGGCCTTTGAACCCAGTCACCACTTGATCATCCACACACCAGTGAAACGGCACCGACACGATGCGACGCTCCTGGCAGAAAGAACAAAACTTGCACCACCTCCTCATGCCGAATCTCAGGTCCATTGCCATGGCGTTGTGAAGCATGTTGCCAAAAGCAACGCTGCTTAAATCCGGCCCGAACAGTGAAAAACCACCACCAGGAACTGCAAGTGAAGGCTGCAAAGAGTGTGCGTCAACCACAGCAGAGGCTGCCGGTTTTGCAGAGGCCAAGGTACTCGCTGTGAACTTGTCACCTGGTGGGACCACTCTAGCCACAGGATGTCCAGTCCTTGCATCTGCCAGACCATCCAACATAGGTTGACCTTGATGAGAAGACCGCATGTGATGATCAGCTGACTTGTTCAGAACCGTAACAGGTAAGCCAGGCGAACCTGCATGGGACGTCAGTGCCGTGACAGATGGATGCGTTTTCCCAGGAATAGTAACAGCTCTAACGTCCATGTCACCGGCAGCAACACCTATACTCCTAACAGCTTCAGCTTGAACCGCTGCAGTCTTCGACGCCTCTTGACCTGCTACAGGCCGAATCGCTTCTTGACCCTTCAAAATCTTCAGCGCTGACCCCGTCTTCCATGCCGAAACCGGTGGTTGAGATAGTTCCACTGTTGCTTGCGTGGCCTCATTCTTTGGAAAATCATTGTCACAAGTAGTGATCTGCTTCAGATGTCCTCCGGGACGAGTATCAGGTGCCTCATCATCGGACGAGCTAGAGTCCGACTTATCCTTGAATAGGGAGACATCGTCCACGCTCTTGGGTGAAGATGGAGTACTGGAAGCTGCGACAGACCCCTCCGCTTCGACGAGCTCTGGCTCTGCAACCTTCTTCTTCGCTGCTCGTCTTTCCTTCTTCGACTTCTTCAACGACACCAGAAAATGGCAATCCCTCTCGCGACTTGGATTATGCTGGTTCAGGATAATGCTGAAATTCGTATGCTCGTTAATAGGAAGCTTCTGCTTCTTCTCGGTGTTTCCGGAAGACTTCCTACAAACAAGCACCGTGGATAGAGTAGCTGGAGGAAGACCGGCCTTCTGTCCAGCCATGGACTGGAACCGCTTGAAACTTAAACAGGAATGAATTCCAACAACTCCCTTGTCCACGTCCTTCTCTCCATCGTGAAAGAAAATGGGGTACGGCGTGGCAAAGGCCTCCATCGTAACTGCACGTAAAAAAATCACAGAAGGTGAAAAAGGCTACCAAATCACCGAAGAAACGAACAAAAGAAACTGATCCAAATCCAATGATAATCCCGAGAAGTGCTGGAAACAGATGAACGACATCCACACTCCAGGCTTGAGCACTGACCAGGCTAGGGCTTCAAGGACGTGAGCTGAAGGAGGATTCCACCAACAGAAATTTCAAGGCAACAGACTAAATTCTCCTGATGGGCGTAGCTACTGCTAGTAGAAATAGAATGTGCAAGAGGGGATTGGACAAGAAAGGGTTGACCAGATCCAATCAGGTGCTACGTTTGCGGTTGATGCGAGGTCCATCAGGAGGAGCTCCGACGTTCCCAAGGTCAGTCGCAAAACCTAATTTCCGCCAATGAGCGATGTCTTGCGATGTCGCTGACGCGTGGCGCGCTCCAGAGTTCCGGCTTCGCGAAGAACCGAACAGCAATGATGACTGTGCTTCGAATAAAGATTCTCCAGTACCTCCATTACGCTTACCCCTACTAGGTATACTAGGAGAGATGCTTTAGAGCTAGTAACTCAACTCCACTAGTGAAACCATGTCATTCTAATTCAAGCTCTCAAAGTTTTAGTATGTGTATTACGCAAAATGAGCTCAAATTATGTATGCTCGATGCTATCTTAGTGCCTAACATCACATAAAAAGTACAAGAGCGTGTTCATACGGCCTCTTCCCAGGCTTTCCTGTCACCTGAATCTCGACAACACCACTCCCAATTTTGGATCAATTTTGCATTGCATCACTCGGGCCGCACTGAAGCATTTCGTGTCAATTTCACATCAAATTACACATCTGGGAAGAGACCGTAGGAACACGACACGCTCTTACTATCCCTTGCAAGTGGCTACACATACAATACAACCCACCTCAACAAATGAGGGGGGAAAAACGAGATCACTACAGTTATTTGCCGCCTTTCACCTGGTCGAGAAGACTCCGTAGAGAAGCTAATCTCACTGGTTTAGTGAGAAAAAAATCCATGCCCACCTTTCTACACTTCTCCTCTTCCTCCTCTAATGCACTTGCAGTGATTGCGACAATCAGCGGTCTAAACCGGTATACACATTCCTGCTGCTGCTGCTGCTGCTGCTGCTGCTGCTGCTGCTGCAGGGGCTGCACTGCTTGCAGAGACACACCATGAAGCCCTTGCTGCTGCTGCATGCTGCTGGTTCGGGGCACGGAATCCGGCCCATACCGGCCCCTCCACATCTTCAGGATGCGTGTCGATGCCTCAAACCCATCCATCACAGGCATGTGCAGATCCATAAACACCACATCCAGCCTATCCTCCCTCTCACACGCCGCTACAGCCTCCGCGCCGTTCTGAGCCACGGCCAGCTGCTCGGCTCCCAGCGACCGCAGCAGCCGCTGCAGCACACTGCGGTTCACTGCATTGTCGTCCACCACCAGGCACCGCAGCCCCGAGCCTGACTTGCTTGCCCCCCCAGCCTTAGTGGTGCCGGCTACAGCAGCTGTTGCTGCTGCAGGTGCAGGCTGCAGCATGCTCCTGTTGACCGCTTTGTCGTCCACCACCAGGCACTGCAGCCCTGCACCCGGCTTGCAAGCGCCCCCGGCCTTAATGGTTTCCATTTCTGCTACAGATGTTGCTGCTGCTCCAGCTGCTGTTGCTGTTGCTGTTGATGCCACAGGGTGCAGCACAGTCCTGTTCACTGCATTTCCGCCCACCGCCAAATGCAGCAGCTCTGCACCCGCCTGTTGAGGCGCCCAGCATGCATCCCCAGCCTTACTGGTTCCTGCTCCAGCTGTTACTTCTGCTACAGTTGGCAGGCCTGCTACAGCTGCTGCTACTTGATTTGTGGTAACTGCAACCTGTGAGGGGCACTGAGAGGGTGCAGCCGCCACTGCCGCCGCTACAGTTGCAGTAGCAGCGGCTGCAGTGGTGCTGTCAGCTGCAGTGTCACCATCTGCTGCAGCAGGACTGGCAAATAAGGGAACGAATGAGCTCCGGGAAATCCGAGGCTGCTGCTGTGAAGGCTCTGGAAATGAGACCAAGCCTAAACCCAAGCCTAATCCTGAGCCTAAACCTGAGCCTAGGCCCGTATCCGGGGCTGTGCCTGTGAAAGAAAGTGGAAGGGTGACCTCAGCAGGAGCAAGGGCAGGAGCACGCCCCTGGCCCTGCATTGCTGCGAGACGGCCTAGGACCTGACTGGTGGAATGCACCAGCGAAACCCCCATGGGCCTGGATCCCGAAATCAACCCCTCTGCTCTAGATCTGGCAAAGGCGCTCTGCGGCGCCTCAAAACTAGAGCCGGAGAAGAAGCCCCTGTCGTGCTGCACTCTCCATCTCCGCCTCCGAGCCTCCTCCCTCCTTGCCTCCACCCCTCTCCCCTCCCTGCTCCCCTCCCCTCTCTCCTCCTCTATATCATCACTTGCCTCCTCTCCCCACCCCTCCCCCTGCCGCTCTCCCCAACGTCCCCCCTGCGCCTCTCCCCACTCCTCCCCCTGAACCTGCTGCCTCATCGCCCCCTCATTATTAACACCCTCCTCTGCTCGTTTCCTCTTAGTGCTCGCCCCAATACCCTTCCTTGCGTCCTCTCCTACCCTATCCTCCCGCTCACCCGCCTCACCTTTACTCGCACTACACTCCCCCATACCTGGATTCCATAGCTTCCAGCTCTCCCCGTCTAGTCTGGCACGTTTTTCCCCGCCAGAACTGTCCTCCCAATCACCATTCCCCCTCCCAGCGCCTGCTCCCCACTCCCCACCCCCCCTCTCACTCCCACCCCCCCTCTCACTCCCACCCCCCCTCTCACTCCCACCCCCCTTTTCACTCCTCTCCAAACTCACACTCCCGCCCTCCCTTCCCCTCCTCTGCCCCCTCCTTTCCACCCTCCTCTCCCCCTCACATACCTTAAAAGGAAGACTAAACGAGAAACAAGACCCCCGCGCCGGCTCGCTCGCTATATGAATCCCATCGCCGCCCAGAAGCCGCACCAGCGACTGCGCGATAGCCAATCCGAGCCCGAGGCCCTGGTACTCCCGGGCGGCGGAGTCGTCCACTTGCACGAAGGGCTTGAGGATCTGATGGAGCATGTTGGGCGGCACTCCCACGCCCGTGTCCACCACCTCGAAACGCAGCTTTGTGGCCAGCTTGCCGTCCTTCCCTCTCTCACTCCTCACTCTTCCATCCTTCACTCTCTCGTCCCTCTCCCTCTCGACTCTCTCGTCCCTCTCCCTCTCGACTCTCTCGTCCCTCTCCCTCTCGACTCTCTCGTCCCTCTCCCTCTCGACTCTCTCGTCCCTCTCCCTCTCGACTCTCTCGTCCCTCTCCCTCTCGTCCCTCTCCCCCCCGTCCCTTTCCCTCTCGCCCCTCTCTCTCTGTGCACACGGCAGCAATTGAGGCTGGGAAGCTGACGAAATCTCAACCTTCTGTCCCTTGACCTCAGAAAGCTCGAGGATTTGGGATGCTGGCGCCTGCTGCTCCTGCTGCTGCCGCTGCTGCTGTTCCCGCCTTTGCTGGCCGCCCTTTTGCTGTTCCTGCTCCTGCTGCTCCTGCTCCTGCCCCTGCCCCTGCTGCTGCTGCTGCTGCTGCTCCTCCTGCCCCTGCACTTCCTCCTGATTCTGCTGCACTTCCCCTACCTTACCCAGCCCAATCAGTGACCCTCTCCGAGCCACACTCCTCTGCTTCCCACCTGCCCCCCCCCCAGCAGCAGCAGCAGCAGCAGGAAGCGGCAGCACCCGCACAGTGAGCTGCACTGTGCCTGAGTGGGTGAACTTGAGGGCGTTGGATAGCAGATGCAGCAGCAGCTGGCGCAGCATGGAGGGGTCTCCTATCACCGTATGGGGCACAGATCTATCCATGCTGATTCCGAACTGCAAGGGAGGATCAGGGGAAAGGGGGGATAGGGAGGGGGGGGGAGGGGATTGGGGGAGCGTTGGACAGCAGATGCAGCAGCAGCTGGCGCAGCTTGGAGGGGTCTCCTATCACTGTGTGGGGCACGGACCTATCCATGCTCATTCCGAACTGAAGAGAGGGAGAGTGACGGGAGAGGAGGAGGGGAAGGGTGAGAGGGGACGGGAAAGGGGGAGCGGACTTGAACCAGCACCACAACCTACAGCACTGCATGCTACATAGAAACCAGGTAGCGCAAGGCGGTACTCACCTGCAGCCCTTTCCTGTGGTCCCAGTAGCCTCCCCTATCGCCCTGAGCAGGTCAAGCTTAACTCGCCTCGGCATCACCACCAACAGCAACACCAACACCCGATATGTTACTGCACCATAGTCCCAAGTAACCCTAGAGGCAGCCCTTTCCTGCGTGCAAGAGGCCGCATGCTCCCAGCAGCCCCCCATATCGCCCTGTGCAGATCAAACCTCAGTTATAACAGCACCGTACCACCTGCAGCACCACCCGATGCAGTACTGCTACATACATAATAGCCAGGTAGCCCAAGGCAGTACCCACCTGCAATCCCTTCCTGTGTGCAAGAGGTCGCATGCTCCCTGCAGCCTCCCCTATCGCCCTGTGCAGGTCGAACCTCACTCGCCTTGGCACCACCTCCCTCTTCTGCAGCTGACTCATCTCCAGCACCTGGAGAAAGGGGGTGTGGAAGGGTCCAGAGCGGTGCCAGGGGGGGTAGAATGGAGAAAGATTGGTCAAACCTCACTCGCCTTGGCACCATCTCTCTCTTCTGCCGCTGGCTCATCTCCAACACCTGGGGGATGCAAAGAGGTGCCAAGGGGTGCGAAGGGGTGAAAAGGGGTGGAAACGAGGGAGCATTTGAGGGCGGGAGAAGATGACGCAGAGGAGGGTTTGGGGGAGGGAGAGGAGATAATATCAGAGGGGCAAAAGCTCACCTAGGCACCACCTATCTCACTTGCCATGCATGGGAGGCAGCACTAAAAGAAACGCTTACCTGAGAGACGGTCCCCAGGAGCACCTCCCCCGACTCGTGAATGCTCTGCAGGTACGACTGCTGCTCGGGGTCCAGCTGCGTCTGCATCATCAGCTGCGCATACCCCAGCACGCCATTGATCGGCGTCCTCAGCTCATGGCTCATGTTCGCCAGGAATTGAACCCGCGACCTCTCAGCTGCCCGTTTCGCCCTTGCAGCCAGCCTCAGCTCGCGCGAAAGAGATGACGAATTCAGGTACTGCTTCCACATGGTGATGTGATAAGTATCCGCCCCGTGCACTAGCACCATCGCGTTAACTTCGACCAGGAACATTTGCCCGTCCACGGACATGTGCACCCAGGGGAAGCGGCACGGGCGGCCGTTGTTGGTGGCGATATCGAGCCAGCGCTGCTCGCTGGCCACGGCGGACAGGATGCCCTCGGGCTGCACCGGGGGCGAGAAGACGACGGGCGACTCGCCGAAGATGCGGGTCGTGCGGTCCTCGTGGGCAACGCGGAGCAGCCGGGCCGCACTGGCGTTGCAGTCGACCACTGTGAGGTTCTTCAGCACGAATATGGCGTCCTGACGAGCGAAGGGAGGAGGGGAGGGGAGGGAGGGGGGGATAGGGAAGGAGGGGGGGGGACAGGGAAGGAGAGGGGGGGAGTGTGATTGGTCCTCATGGGAAACGCGGAGAACGAAGAGGCGCAGGCGTTGCATGCTGTGGGGTTCTTTAGAACGAATATGGGGTCCTGGACGCCGGACGGGGTGGGGGGGGGGGGGGGGGGGGGGGGTTTGAGGAGTGGAGAGGGAGAGAATTTGAGAGAGAGGGAGGACCACTTGAGAGAGAGGGAGTTGGGGAGTGTTTGGCCTTCGTGGGAACAATGAGATTCTTCACAACGAGCGGAGGAAGAATCTGAATCTGAGTGAGGGAGTGGAGGTGTTGGGGAGAGACAGGCCTCTTCTGGGAGGGGCTGCGATGAGAAAGGCCTCTTCCTCCCCTCTTCCTTGCAAGCAGGGTGGGGATGAAATGATATAGAACACTTACAGAGGCGGAGTAGAACTTCTCTTGCCCCGCAGGTGCATCCGCCCCCATCCCTGCCCTCCCTGGCTTCACTCTTACTATCTCCTCCACCTCTCCCTCACAAGCCGGGAGGGGCGGCAATTGAATGGGCCTCTCCCCTGCCTCGCCCTCTCTTGCCTTGCCAGTTTCCCCTGGCTCTGCTTCCCTCTCCTCCATCCCCCTGTCGGTACCCTCCTGTTCCTCCTCCTTCTCCTCCTCCTCTGCCTCCTCCTCGTCCTCCTCCTCATCCTCCTCCTCTTCCTCCTCATCATCACTCGGTGCATTCTGTGCCTCCAGCAGTCGAGCCAGCCCTCTCTTAAGAAAGTCAGTCCAGATATCCCCTTCCTCCGCACCTCCTACGCCAGTCCCCCCCTCCCCCATTCCCCCCTTCACCTCCCCCTCCTCCTTCGCTCCCCCCTCTGCAACAATTTCCTCCCCCACTTCCGCCTCAGCACCACCGGCGGCACCACTGGCGGCACCACTGGCGGCACCACTGGCGGCACCATTGGCCACAGCACCGGCCACACCATCCACCCCAGCAGTTGATTCGGCAGCAGCGGAGCGAGCCGCTGATATTGACTTAGCGGGTTGAACTGCTGCCGTTGATTTAGCGGATTGAACTGCTGCCGTTGATTTAGCGGATCGATCTGCTGCCGTTGATTTAGCAGACTGAACTGCTGCCGTTGATTTAGCAGATTGAACTGCTGGCGTTGATCTAGCGCAGTGGGCTGGTCCCATTGTCCTCGCCCTGGCGCTTAATTCAGCAACCGACCCCTTTGGTTCATCGCGACCACCCACAGCCCGCACACTCAAAAGCCCTGTCTCCTCCTCACCCATCTCCGCCTCACCCAACTCCTCTCCCTTCCCCTCACCCACCTCCTTACCCACCGCCTCCACCACTCTCCCATCTCTCCCTTGCACTGCCTCTGGCAATGGCACTGCAGATGCCAGAGCCTGCGCGCTCAAGAACCTCGCTCTCTTCCCACCCACAGCCCGCGCGCTCACATGCCCTATCTCCTCCTCATCCTCCTCCTCACCCTTCCCCTCACCCTCCCCATCACCCTGCCCCTCCTCCGCCACCTCCCCACCTCTCCCTTGCACTGCCCCTGGCAAAGGCACTGCCGATGACTCTGGCGATCTCCCACAAGGACGAGGCAATGGCACCTCCAGTTCCTTTTCTGGATGAAACCTCTCGAATATTTCCGTCCTGTCCTCGTTATAGTCCACCTCCATAGACGCATGGCAGTCTCCTACGTGCATGGAGACAGCACAAGCAGCGGCGGCAGCGATAGTAGGGAGATCCGTGCTGCTGCTACCAGCCCCTACGCTTCTCCCCCTCCCTCCCACTTCCCTCACCTCTCCCTCCCCCCGCTCCTCCCCCTCCTCCCCGTCCATTCCCCCATCCGCTCTAGTCACACCCCCTCGCCCGTCCCCTTCCAGCGCCCCCCTAATGTGCAGCACACAGGTTGCCACCGCACCTTCCCCACATAACGCCTCCCTCTCAGTGCTCCCCATCTCACCAAGGGCTGACAGCGCAGCAGCGGCTGCATCGCCGCCCCTGCAACTACCATCATCCATATCACTAGTAACACCTGCCGCCTCACGACAAATTTCTGCTGAGCCACTGTGGCAACCGCCGCTCGTGCTGTGCTCTCCCCTCTCCCCCTCTCTCCTCCCCCCCTCACTCTTCTCACTAACCGTCGCCTTCCCCTCTCTTTCCTCCTCTCTCCTCTCTTCCCCTCTCCCACTTTCCTGCCCTATCGATCGTTCACTGTTCCTCTCAGCGCACGTCCGCCCACCCCACCATTGCTCCCAATCTCCTCTCCCACCCTTTCCCCCCTGCCACTTCCCCAGCTCGCCCTGCCTCTTCCTCTCCCCTGCTACAGCCCCAGGGGGTTCCTCCAACCGCGCTCTATTCTCCAAATGCGCTTTAATCTCCTCTATTTTCGTAGGTAGCTGGTCTAGCAAATGCCTATCTTCTAACGGATTTCCTTCCTCTATAAGATCCTCGGTAGAGCGCCACCGGGGAAGCGTGGGCAGAGTCATGGGGCCTTTTCGCTTCTCTATAGTCACCGGAGCGGGCTGGGGCTTGCAGCTGGCTGTAGCGGCTGCAGCTGCAGCTGCTACAGCCGCCGCTGCTGCTACAGCCGTCGCTGCGGGAACAAGAGGTGCTGAACCGGAATACACTGGAACAAGAGCACCTCCAGCAGCAGCCGCAGCAGCAGCAGTTGATGGCACATGCCTTGCTCCCAATCCTGATGCTGCTGCAGCTGCTGCTGTTGCTGCTGGTGGTGAAACTTCCCCCCCTCTATCAGCACTCTCTCCAGCTCCTGCTCCTGCTCCTCCGTCTCCCCCCCCACCTCCTCTCCTCCCTGCCTGCTGTACTAGATGATTGGAGCTGGATCGTCGGGGGAGAGGTCTTGGGTTGTGCGTGCCTACTGCTTCGGAGAGCGCAAGAGCAGGCGCAGCGGAATCCGGAGCAGCAAGGGCACGAGCACTTGGCGTGACGGCATCAGGGAAAGGGGGGGGAGGTGACAGGCTTTCGGACGCAGTGAAATCCGCCGCACCAGCAGAAACAGCAGCAGCAGCAGCAGCAGATGTGGCGGCGGCAGCACCTGCAGCAGCAGCAAGAGCAGCAGGAGCAGCTGTGGAGTCCCCAAACATCGCCCCTTGGGTTGCTGCAGCCGCCGCTACAGCCGTCCCTTCAGCTTCCCCTTCAGCTGCCCCAGCAGCAGAAGCCGGAACCACCTCGAGCTCTTCGAAAACGCACACAACTGCCAACCTCCCCCTGCCCCCTGCTGCTGCTCCTGGTTGCACTCTAGCCCCTGCTCCTGCTCCTGCTCCCGCTGCTACAGCTGGTTCTCTTCTCTCTGCTTGTCTTCCCGCAGGTTCTCTTCCCGCTACTGGCGCCATCCGCGCGCGCACCCAGACGAACTGCTGCTCGGTCTGAAACTCCTCCCCCTCCGCCTCCTCATCCACTCTCAGCCGCACATGCAGCTGGTGCTGCCGCTGCCGGCGGGGAAACCTTTCCGCGCTGCCCGGAGCAGCAGCGCCAGAAGAAGACGCACCTGAGGGAAAACCGTGCGGCTCCTGGTGCGGCTGGTTGGCTGTTGTAGCCCTCACAGGGTGTGGCATGTCTACTGAGAGCCCTCCAGAGGGAGTTGTCGCACCATGAGTCTGCTGTCTGGTTCCTGTGACGTGGCCATGCATGGAGGAGCGGAGCGACGGTGCTGTGCTGCTGGCGGGAGCCAAGCGCGCGCACTTAACCAGAGTGTCCTGTTGAACAGATGCAGAGGAATCAGAGGAACCAGAAGAATGTGGAGGGAATAAGTGGAGGCAGAAGGTGGCGGAGTTAGTGGAGAGAAAGGCACTTACTATGCGAGGTGAAACATAAACCAGACGCTCCAATTACAATGAGAGGTTCAACGACGAGGTGTGCCATGAAGAGCGGCTGGTCGTTGAGATGGAGTAACTCCAGAATGGGTCGATTCTCGAGGGAGGTGAGTCGACTCAAAGGTCACATAGGTGGGGTCGATTCATCGAGTGTACCTTGAAGAGCGGTTGGTGGTTGAGGTGAAGTAACTCCAGAATGGATCGATTCGACTCAAAAGTCATATAGGTGGGGTTGATTTGACGAGTGTACCATGAAGAGCGGTTGGTCGTTGAGATGAAGTAACTCCAACATGGATCGATTCTCGAGAGACCCCGGCTCCTGCTGCAGCAGCTCGCACGCACCCATGCTGATGAAAGGGGATCGCGGTGGAAAGAGAGGAGAGAGAGGAGAGAGAGGAGCGAGAGGAGAGAGAGGAGCGAGAGGAAAGAGAGGAGAGAGAGGAGGAGGAGAGAGAGGAGAGAGAGGAGAGAGAGGAGAGAGAGGAGAGAGAGGAGAGAGAGGAGAGAGAGGAGAGAGAGGAGAGAGAGGAGAGAGAGGAGAGAGAGGAGAGAGAGGAGAGAGAGGAGAGAGAGGAGAGAGAGGAGAGAGATGGTGCAGAGAATGCCGGAAAACGTCAGATTGTCAGAGATCCAGGGGCTAGGGATCCGGGCTCCTGCTGCAGCAGCTCGCATGCACCCATGCTGATGAAAGGGGATCGCGGTGGGGAGAGCGAGAGTAGCGAGATAGTAGATCGATCTGTTAGGAAGAAGAGAAGAGAGAAGAGGAATTTAGGGAAGAGGAACTGACAGAAGAGGAACTGACAGAAGAGGAACTGACAGAAGAGGAACTGACAGAAGAGGAATTGACAGAAGAGGAACTGACAGAAGAGGAATTGACGGAAGAGGAACTGACAGAAGAGGAATTGACGGAAGAGGAACTGACAGAAGAGGAATTGACAGAAGAGGAACTGACAGAAGAGGAATTGACAGAAGAGGAACTGACAGAAGAGGAACTGGCAGAAGAGGAACTGACAGAAGAGGAATTGACAGAAGAGGAACTGACAGAAGAGGAATTGACGGAAGAGGAACTGACAGAAGAGGAATTGACGGAAGAGGAACTGACAGAAGAGGAATTGACAGAAGAGGAACTGACAGAAGAGGAACTGACAGAAGAGGAACTAGCAGAAGAGGAACTGACAGAAGAGGAATTGACAGAAGAGGAACTGACAGAAGAGGAACTGACAGAAGAGGAACTGACAGAAGAGGAATTGACAGAAGAGGAACTGACAGAAGAGGAATTGACAGAAGAGGAACTGACAGAAGAGGAACTGACAGAAGAGGAACTAGCAGAAGAGGAACTGACAGAAGAGGAATTGACAGAAGAGGAACTGACAGAAGAGGAATTGACAGAAGAGGAACTGACAGAAGAGGAATTGATAGAAGAGGAACTGACAGAAGAGGAATTGACAGAAGAGGAACTGACAGTAGAGGAACTGACAGAAGAGGAACTGACAGAAGAGGAACTGACAGAAGAGGAATTGACAGAAGAGGAACTGACAGAAGAGGAATTGACAGAAGAGGAACTGACAGAAGAGGAACTGACAGAAGAGGAATTGACAGAAGAGGAACTGACAGAAGAGGAATTGACAGAAGAGGAACTGACAGAAGAGGAACTGACAGAAGAGGAACTAGCAGAAGAGGAACTGACAGAAGAGGAATTGACAGAAGAGGAACTGACAGAAGAGGAATTGACAGAAGAGGAACTGACAGAAGAGGAATTGACAGAAGAGGAACTGACAGAAGAGGAATTGACAGAAGAGGAACTGACAGAAGAGGAACTGACAGAAGAGGAACTAGCAGAAGAGGAACTGACAGAAGAGGAATTGACAGAAGAGGAACTGACAGAAGAGGAATTGACAGAACAGGAACTGACAGAAGAGGAATTGACAGAAGAGGAACTGACAGAAGAGGAACTGACAGAAGAGGAATTGACAGAAGAGGAACTGACAGAAGAGGAACTGACAGAAGAGGAACTGACAGAGGAACTGAACGAAGAAGAACTGACAGAAGAGGGAGTGAAAGACGAGGAACTGACAGAAAAGGAGTTGACAGACGACAAAACGTCACTCGAGGGGGATACAGTGAGCCAGGCTAACTTGGCCTCCCCGAGGTTACTTTCTAGAACATGACCATTCTGAGGGTAATTTCTAAAACATGACCATCCTGAGATCACACGCGTAAATACATCTTAAACACTAGTATATATTATCTAGTATGTGTACTTCATATTGTACTATTAGGCCGCAGGAAACCCGTCCCTGCAGGCTATATGAACCGGGTTCATATAGCATTCAGAACCTTCCTATGAGATGAACATTCTGGTTGGCAGCGGCGATCGCCACTGGTCTCATCCTATGATAGGTTTGGTAAGCTGACGGCAATAAACAACGCAAGTCACCGCTATTTGAGAGAGAGAGAGAAAAACTAGTACGAATAGCAATATCTCGCAGCAATACCTAGCAGAGAGAATCTTAGCGCCTCTCGCGGCAATGACGACGGCAGCTGTTAGATCGAGAAGCGACGACAGCGCATCTCCATGAGACAATGAAACGGCTGCACCCGCGGAATCTGCAGCCAGCCGGCGGAAAGGCATATTGCGGTACTACTAATAAGCAACCAACGAAATATCTGTACTGCCTGACACCGAGCAAGTTAATTGCTGCCACCGCTAAAGAGAACTCTCTAATCCACAATTCCACGATGTGCCAGTTCCAGATCTGTGCGCTTCCACTGATAGAAACCCTTGCTCTCTCTTAGTTAGTGACACTGACCCAGGGTGTTGGTATTGGCACGGTACAACCCATCCTAACGGTTCAGCCAACCGTCAGTCAACCCCAGCTTTTGGTTTGGAAGAGTGCTCCTCCTCAGGGCGTGTCCAGCGCGTTCATATACTATTCAGCTGGCATAACAGGTCCAGAATTCGGGTGTGGTAACCTGAATTTCTCTGTCCATTTAGACTCGCTGAAAAAATGCTCGGTTTTAGCGGACACTTCCCAAGCGTGCCGGCAGTCGTGTTGAGAACGTTTCGAAAACGACTGGTAATGGTGCCCAAGCCCGTCAATCCGGCTGCCCAAAGAAAACACACACGTTTCGCCTACCGCCCGCGGTCTTGCAAACACCTTACCAAACGAAGCGGGGATAACTTTATTTTATTTTTTTCCGTAGGCGAATTTACTGATTTCGCATTTCAGTTTTGTAAAGTGCAGCGCACAGGCTCATTTGTGGCATCGTAGGTCACCGCACCAGCCGAGTCCTGACCTCCAAAGGTGAACCTCGCGACAGTAGTACTTTCCGCAACGAATTTTTTTGAACGTCCAAAAGACGTAAGAAAATCGTGTTGGGGCGAACTGAACGCGCTGGACACGCCCTCAGCTGAATGACAGACCACACACACGAAGGCACAGCGGATAAGCTCTAGGATTGAAATGTCCTCGCCTCACCAACCAGACGCTCTACATCCGCAGTGTACACGCGTAACAGCTCAGTCCACCACAGGACTCGAATGCTCCACAGCAGGCCTCCCGCTGGTAATTATCCCCAATTTCGATAAATTATAGAGTAATTCCGATGGATTCCGTCGTCATCACCGTTGAATTTTCTTGTTCCGTCCACCAAGGGATTAGGTTCCGTGCGAATTTCGGTGATTCTGTGGCTATACACCCCCCACTTCCGCCCCTTCGACTAATGACCTAACAGAGCAGTTCGTAAGCGGGACACTTCTACCATCCCGACCCCCCAAACCGTAGCAGGAGTTTGAAACGCCTCAACTCCTCAGGGCCCCCACGGCTCTCCCTCAGCCATGGTGAAGGAAGATGAGATCATGAAACAGGAAGGGTACTCTTCGACGAATCCGTATGGTACGAAAAGGGTTTTTAGAGATTCCGTCCGCTAAAGGGTAATTTTGGGGGAAATTTTCGTCCCCCACGCTACTGTGGGACGAGACAGCTTGGTTGGTATGGTTAGGCTTCGCTAGGGTCTGCCATGATCGCGGCTGCCATCCCCTGGCCGCCAGCCAGCAGCGAGCTGTGAATTTCTGCACCGTTGGCCCTGACGGTGGGGACCTATCAGGTACAGCAGACGCATGCCTGCGTTCGCATGGGTCTTGTTTGACTTGTGCGGAAAGTTTGTTCATTTTTATGCCCGTACAGTGGCAGTCACTGCTACGGCTATTGAAACGTGAAGGAAATAAAATATTTACATGTTTTCTAGAATATTAATCGGCATGTTTACCTGGCTGCTGGCCGCTGCATTTCTTATCGAATGAGATCTTCGGTGGCTGGAATGTGTGGCAGAGCCTGCATGCGCGAAATGCTTGCAATCAGATCCGACAGCATCTGGTGGGTATCTCCTTAGTTGAAAAACGCGGCGAATACAGGAGGAGTCAGTTACAATACAACGGATCGCCTAGTGATTCTGGCGGTGGATATGATAGAGTTGCAATGTTTAGCTGATGATATCCATGTGTTTTACACTTCAAATCCACGAATGGAGCAAGGATCACGCTGGGTAAATCCACGAGCCGCTATTATCTAGTTAGGTCAGAGCGGGTAATTACTCAAACCTAGAAACAGTAGCTGCCAATATCATCCTCTGTGCTTCCCCTCCCCTCACCTCCACGCCAATATCAAATGATACACGTAAAGCCTTTTCAAGACCAGCTTTTTTTCGAGCGGGTGATCCAAAGTCGAGCACATAACTTTCACGGGCGAATTGGGCCAGTATAGGGTAGTCTAGTTACCTCGTTGGATTTTTTTAGTCTAAAGCGGGTGACTATTGTTGTTTGTTTTCCGTTTCTCGGGCAACAGTGTAAGGTCTGAGAACGTCCCGTCTGCACGTTTGGAGGTCTCCGTATCCGATGTGATGACTGTTGCAGATCTGTGGGCTCTGTGAATGTACACGTGGCATCTACTGAATGAGCGGTTCACTGGACCCTTGGTGTACTCAGGGGTTCGAGAAGAATCTCTAGATACAAAGGTCTGGGGCCAATGGAATGAGAGCATTTGATGAGTGGTCAAACCTCGAAGAGACATCTTTGAGCGGAAGTTCGACCCTGTACTAATAAGACATCCTATAATGTACAGATCCAGATGTAAAACTTCGCCACCTTCAAGATTAGGTTTCAAGTATTTTAGGAATGATGGTACATGCTATAAACACTGGACACCACACCGGTCTTACTTCTGAAATAACTTGTCCAATGTTGTAGAAGACAAAGTATATAACTGCAAACACGAACACTTGGAAATCCTCAAGTGTTGGTCCAGGATCTTTACTGGAATGGTAGACTAGTAAGACAGCGGAAGTCTTGTAAGAATGAAAATGAGTATATGTTTCTGCAGAAGTTTAAGTCTCAAAGTTCTCAAAGTTGAAATCTCAAGGTTAATAATGAAAAGAACACAACAAAGATTTATAGCTATAGGAAAGTACCTATTCGCTAATGTACCTGTTCGTCACTATCGCGCAATGCGCCCTAAACGATAATGAAGAGGTGCGACTGTTCGCGTGCCTGAAACGAGTGTCCTATGACGAGCGCTATTTGCTGACGTCATCTTACAGACTTGTGTTCTACAGTAGGATTCGACACTATCTACACATAATCGACTTACAGAAATGCTAAGTATAAACTATATCACAACACTCCCCTTCATTTCTGGAAGTTCGATAGTGTCACTTCTTGAAGATCCCACAAAGCTTGTTACAGTCTTAGAACTTCTGTCGTGACAGCTTCTTCGTGAGGAAATCGGCAGCCATTTCGTTGGTCGAACAGTACAATCGCATCCTCCCATTTTCGACTTCATCATTGACGAAAAAGTAACGCAGAGAAATATGTTTCGTCCTGTTGACGAAACCAGGCTGGTGCGCGATGCGAATTGCACTTTGGTTGTCGCACTGCAGGGTAAACTGGGTAGTTGTCGTCAACTTCGCTTCTTCCAATAGTTCCTGTAAGTAAGGTCCTTCACGTTTTGCTGTGCAGACAGCAATGAACTCAGCTTCAGCAGAGGAGAGAGCAATCAATTCCTGCTTCGTCGAATTCCAAGAAATAGGTCCGACAGGTTCAAGCTGGTAGATGAACCCAGTGAGCGACCGTCGATTAATCAAGTCAGCAGCGTGATCGGCGTCGACGAAACCGTGTAGGTATAGTGTTTTAGAACCGATGACGTTGTAGACTAAACCGACGTCAGGAGTCGAGATAAAATATTGAAGCGCGCGAAGAAGATCAAGGTGGTACTCCTCTTCAGGACGGCGTAGGAACTGAGCGAGCTGCCTAGCCACGTAGGCCAGATCTGGACGAGAAGTAACAGCGGCGAAGAGTAAACAGCCTAACTGTTGTTGATAGGTCTGTAAACCAGTTGAATTTAACAGTGCAATGTTCGGTTTGTGGTCAGTCGGTAGTGAGCCGTACGGTGTAGAGACTATAGTAGGAGAGAGATTGAAGCGGGCAGCGAGCGTCGCTGCGTACTTCGAAGCAGTGAGGTGAATCGTTGTCGGTGAACAGGTAATATTTGGACCGAGAAACTGTGAAACTGTTTCTGTGACGGTAAGCTGTAGGTTTTTCTGTAGTTTCAGTATGAAAATATCGGCGAGCGAATCAGTAGTGCTGACGTAGAGAATGTCGTCGATGTAGGCGACTCGTAAAATATAGTTACCCGACAGGAGCAAAAGTTAGCTCGTAGTTGATGCCGTAAGTCTGCTCGAACTCGCGGACGACCCAACGCGCCTTGAATTTCTCAAACGACCCATTTGCATTAGTCTTGACGCGGAAGACCCATTTTCCGGTAAGAACTTTCTTCCCTTTTACTTCTGAAGTCGGTACTAAATCCCATGTGCCACGATTCTTAAGAGCTGCGAGCTCCTTGTCCATGGCTTCGCGCCATTTTTTTCGGTGAGGGCTCGTAACAGCTTGTCGAACGATTTTATGTTCAGGTATCTTACTGTCGTTATACTGTACTGCTACTGCAAATCCAAGTATCTGTAAGCCAGTTTCTATAAAACGCGGACGTTCTTCGTTTGCACCTGCAAAATTTTCTTATTGTCCTTCTTCCCCCCAAATTTCGTCAGGTGTAACACGAACTGCTTCGTCGGAGACGGCGAGCATTGGCTGCTGTTGACGATCGCGTTCGTAACTGAGGTGGACTTCGCGAACGTCATCTTGGTCAGCATATGTAAGAGGAATAAACTCTGGTATGCCAGTCGAGGTTACAGGTTCGGGAATGTCAGTTGTAGCAGCTTCGGATGCTTCAGAAACTACTTCGTTGTGTACATCAGCTTCGGCTTGTTCTAGGAAAGTACCTATTCGCTAATGTACCTGTTCGTCACTATCGCGCTATGCGCCCTAAGCGATAATGAAGAGGTGCGACTGTTCGCGTGACTGAAACGACTGTCCTATGACGAGCGCTATTTGCTGACATCATCTTACGGACTTGTGTTCTATAGTAGGATTCGACACTATCTACACCTAATCGACTTACAGAAATGCTAAGTATCAACTATATCACAACAACTTCAACGTGTACATTTTGAATATTTGCAGTTTTTGCAGCTTTTCCATTGTTCTGGTATCGGTTGCTGCTATTGCTCAAAGTTGTTGATGCTTTGCAACTTCATATTACATGAGCTTCCATCCATGTATACACCTTGTGATGTTCATTCCTTATTACAAAGTAGATCAAGTATAAATAGTTTATTACAAGGAGGATGGCATATTACATGCATATGATACTAGCTCGAGCAAGATCTAAAAGGTGTAGATTGATAAGTTTGTTTATGTTTTTCACTACTAAGTAATCCATATATTCAGCTATTAGGTTCAATACTAGCCGATTTATAAGCCGAATAGACACATTAACAGTTATGCAGTCCTTCTATAAGAAGGGAAATGCAGTGTATATGTACCAGTTTTATGGAAGCTGTACTATGTTATCCTGTAAAGGATCATACCATCGTACAAACTTCACCTGCTGCTTTTATTTTACCAACGGCTGCTTTTCATCGTAGCATCCAACGTTTCGTGCAGAAGAAATTTAGCTTAGCGCCACGTCACCAAGGCCTCGTGGTACTTGCGCTAGAAGGACTTGCTGCTACTAGTACCAGAAGAGCAGGCGCAAGGGGGACGAGCGCGCGAGGGGGAGCGGGGTCCCGCGGAACGATTGCGCGGGACTGGGGTTGGGGGAAGCGGAAGGGTCGGGAGGGAGCGAAATTGGGAGGATTAGCGGGATTGCGTGGTTTGTAAATGAACGGCGGATGTTAGTAGCCCTAGAGTGGGGAGGCGAGTCTTGAGACGTCATCCCAAGAGAGATGGATGGGAGGGGAGCAGGAGAGGGAGGAGGGGGTCCAGAGGGGGTGGAGGGACGAGAGAAACGGAGGCGGGAGGAGGAGCGGGAGGGGGGAGAGGAATCACCTAGGGTTGAGGACGGGGGAAGGTCCGGTGGGGAAGATTCAGCCCTGCTGGGTAAACCTATCTGCTCTCAACTCCTGTTCGAATCCGAGGAGTCAAGAAGACGGCGTCTTCACCACACGGAGGGAAGGTTCGATGGGGAAGATTCCGCCCTGATGAGGTCGAGCCTTCCTCCCTCCTCTACCCGGTTCGATCTCAGTGGGGAAGATACGGCCATACCTGCTGCTGGGGAAGATACTGCTCTGCTGGGTATACCTGGGAGTTTAAGCGCCATGGCTGGCGGTGATGGCGGGGATGGCGGTGGTGGCGGTGATAGAAGGAAATTAAGTGGTGGTGACGTGGCGCCGAATCTTATGCTCTTTAAACCCGTCTGTAGACGCAAACCTGGTGATACGCTGGTTGGGATCATCTTCGTTATAAGCACATCCGTCACAGCAGCTATCGTCGCCGCACACACCCTCTCGTCCCTCTTCCTCCAAACCTCCCCCTCCGCCTTCCTGGAACCTTCCTCCCAGTCCTTCGCCCCAACCACCGACCAGCTCATTCCACAAATTGCAGGGGCGGCTCTCTCTGTCCTTATCTGCCACGTGGCACCACTAAAAGGATCTTTCGCCTTGCTGGCAGCAGGATTCGCGGCCTACCAGTTTGTCTTTTTCCTCGCCCCTCTCCGTCCCCTCCGCCTCCTGTCTTCCCTACTCGCGTTGTTACAGGAGAGTGGGGAGGAGGGGGAAGGGGGAGGGGGAGGGCCGGGGGGATGGGGAGGGGGAAGCGTGGTAGGGGGATGGGGGGGAAAAAAGGGAAGGGGGGGGAAAGCTGGTGGTGGTAGTGGTGTTGTCAGTTACAGGCGTTACTCCTTTTTCCGCCACTTCTCCCCTCTGTCCTCGTTATGGGATTGGTACGGTACATGGTATGAGCCTCTGGAAGCGAGCAGCACGTGGGTTGTGGTGTTCTCTGCGCTTGCTTTGATTCTCGCCGCCTTGCTCCTCCTGCTGCTGCTGCTAGGGTCGGGGAGAGGGATGGGGGTGGGCGAGAAGGGGAGGAGAAGGGGAGAGGAGGAAAGTGAGGAGAGAGAGGAGGAAGGGGAGAAGGGATCATGGGAGGAGGAGGAGGAGGAGGAGGAAAGGGGAGGTTTGACGCCGTTAGGGGGGCGAGAAGTCTTGTTTGATTTGTTGGCGTGTGGATTCACACGTCAGATGCAGCATTGGGATACGTGGTGCCAGCAACGGATGACGTGGATAGAGGACACGTGGCGCATGACGTGGCACATGACGTGGCGATGCTGCTGCAACCTGCTGCGGCCTTTTCGTCAGAAGCAGCAACCGCAGCAGGAGCAGCAGAAAGGGACTCAGCACCAACAGGACCACCACAAGCAACGTCAGCAGCAGCATCAGCATCAGCAGCAGCAGCAGCAGCCGCTGCAGCCGCCGCAGCAGCCAGAGCAGCTGGAGCACCACCACCAGGCATCCCCTTCCGGCCCATTTCTGATGAAATCAGCATTTAGCCACCCTCCGCCATTCCGCCACCCTCCGCCATTCCAACTGCCGCCCTCCGCCAAGCCCGTTCCCTCCTCCTCCAACCCTCCTCTCTCATCCCGCCTCTCCCTCGCATCCTGCCTCCCTCTTTCATCCCGCCTCCCTGTCCTCCACTACTCCTCTGCTGTTTCAACTATCCGCCGCTCCATCCGCTCCCTCTCTCACCGCCACTTCCCCGCCCGCTCCCTTTTCACTGCTATCGCTCTCCTCGCGGTTCTAGGAAGCTTCCTCTCGCCGCTTTTCGTCACGACGTGGGGGGATAGGAGTGGTCCTGACGCCTATGCTCAGACTGGTTCCGCCTCCTTTTCCTCCCTCTCGTCGTTCTCGCTCACTGCTTATAAGGGGGATAGTCCACTACCATCCTCCCAGCCCTCCTTTCCATCCTCCCTTTCCCCTCTGGCTCACTGCCCCCCGTTTTTTCTTGCGGCTGCGCAGCAGCAGCAGCAGGAGGCAGAAGAGCAGGAGAAAGAGAAGCAGATACAGCAGCAGCAGCAGCAGCAGGAGCAGGAGGCGGCATGGGGAACGGGCACCGGCTTTATATCAGCACAAATTACTTAT